CCACAAATTATTAGATCGGTTAGTGCAATCGTTTTGGAAACGATGGAGGATGGAATACTTGCATACTTTGCAGTCTCGGCAAAAATGGAACACAGCGACAGAGCCTTTAGCTGTAGGAACCGTAGTTGTGTTCACTAAGGAGAATACGCCGCCTCTCCACTGGCCGTTAGGAATCGTCGAGGAGGTCTTTCCCGGTTCCGACGGAGTAATTAGGATAGCTCGCGTTAAGACCACGGTTGGGTCTTACCTACGTCCGGTTATCCGTTTGTGCCCCTTGCCTCTTCCATAATTTAAATTAGCTTTTTTGACTGAAATTGTAGTTTAATTTAGGTAATCTTAGCGTTAGTTAGTTATTTGTTAGTCGATCTTAGCTCTAGTTGTTTAGTTATTTTTTTTTTGAAGGAAATCCTTCAAGGGCGGGGGGAGATGGTTGCGCGGAAAACCATTCGCGTTTTTTATTTTTGACGGTAGGAATTTGTCGAATCATTATTCCCTTCCGAAACAATATCATTCGTACCCTCCTATCGACACATCGGGGTGGTGGGGTGGGAGGGGAAAGAAGACGATTCTAGAACATCGCGTAATCATCGGACCCGAGGATATATAAGACACGCGCGACCGACGCGCGCTCTCTTCTCCCGCCGCAGTCGTCGTTGAACTACAACCTCCTCTTCCCGCGCGCTCGTTTGGAAACACCTCACTAGTGGAAACCGCTTTGGCCTGGAAGCAGTCGAGCTCCAGGAACCCGCCTCACCTCGTGTGAGATATCGTCGCGCACCGCCTCTCTCCGGAGTGTTCCGGAAGTCGCCGCTATAGTGATCGACAGGAAGAAGAAACCCCGGTGAGTCAATACTCCTTAATTATACCTGCTTGCTAATAATTTAACCCGCTCCAATTTGTGTTTTTTTCCTAGTCAAGCAGGATTCCTTTCATCGATTCGACAAGTAATAGTTTAGTTTAGGGAAGAGCGAGTGCATTGTACCGCATGCTATAGTAGTCGCTTCACATAAGCATAGAAGCAATCGCATATACAGTCCACTTTAGTTAATATCTCGCGTAATAGGTTTGAGGTTTGACCGGGGAACTAGATTTTCGGCAGCCTTAAACACGTGGCTCCACCAGCGACAATAGCATTGAATGACTAATTTGACCTATTAAATAATAAAAGAGTTTAACCTAAATTATCTGCTTATAACTAAAAATCTTTGATTTACGTCAAACTGAGTTTTAATGTAACTGATTCTTTTCTTAGGGGGGGTTGAGAATACTTATTTATCCTTCAATGTGGGTTGGGGGTCAAAAATCGTCAAAATCATCCTTACGTAATTAATGAATGGCCTCTTACTCAATAATCGACGTCAGTTTTAGAAACGCTTGAAGTGCGTCTCTCTCTCTTCTCTAAATTACAATAGAGAGGGACAGGCATAGAGAAAACTATTACATAATTTAAGTAAGCGATGATAAACGTTTATAAGTAAGGCCAGTCACAAGCCGAGTTGACTCAACGACTAGAATATAGTTTGATACTAAATTATCTTTAGTTGAATTAATCTCGCAACGCGGCTCTGTTAAAAAGTTTCTATGTTTTTAATTACTTACTCTAATCGCGATTGAACTCTAGTGATTTACGGAGTGGCTTAGTTAAGTCTTGTAATACTAACTAGGCTTTGCTAAGATAGCAGCACTAAGTGAGAGGTCACGTCAAATGAAGTCAACGCTTCCTCTCCCTCTTGCTCTAATCCAAAGCTCCGAAAACTTTCAGCTCGAGTTACAAAATCGTTTTCATTGCCTAGAAGACTGCAATGACGATATTAATGACAAGCTTGTGGAAACTGTTCATGCGATCGGAGCTAAGTTTGTAAGACCCATCCGAGAAAAACTCAAAAAGTTAAAGTTACAGCCTATGTACGTCCCACTGCTGGGCACAGGCCTCCCCTCATTTCTGAGAGGGTTTTAGGGCAAGGAAGTGTCCGCCGCGCTGCCCCAATGCGTGTTGGCGAACTTCACATGTCTTCGAAATATTTTTTTTCTTATTCCTCAGACATGCAGGTTTCCTCACGATGTTTTCCTTCACCGCCGAGCACGTGGTAAATCAGCACTTAAAATTGCAATTAACAATTTCATTGGTGGTGCCGGTGGGGATCGAACACGGGATACTCACGTTCTGTAATATTTACAGCGAGCGTTAACCATCTGAGCTACCACGGCTCAGATGGTACTCAAAACTCTCCATCAATCACAATCTTAATCTTATGGCTGGTAAACGGGAGATGAAGATGCAGTCAGCAGATTTGGCAGCATATAGGAAACTGAACAGACAGATCTCCAAACGTATGCAACTTCGATACAGCTCGTACTATAAAGACGATCGAGTGGAACCATGGCTTCAAAACCTTTGTCAGAGCTCTGCTTACCAGAAAGAGCCAACTGTCGAACCTGAAGAACGAATGTGGGCAGCATCGTTTCCGGGACACCTAAGATTTTGAGTGAGATTAAGTGGTTCTATGGGCAGCTGTACTCGTTATAGTTGAAACCACACGCAAGTGTGAGTAACGCTCCAAGAGCAAGTCATATCCTACACTATTCCTATGATATCCTGGACGTCAGTCGGAGTGAGATTAGAATGGCTCTCCAGCACTTCAAAAAAGGCAAGTCCCCGGGCAAGGATGGGATTACAGCCGAGCTTCTGAAAGTGGGTGGAAAATCGATACTTAAAGAAACCTTCAGAAACACTTCAATTCCGTCTTTTATGGTAGCACTACTCCGGAGTTCCGGAGGCGTGGAGCAGAAATGCGGTGGTCTTGTTCTTCAAGAAAGGCGACAACGCTCTCTTGAAGAATTTTCGCGACTAACGTCAATGGCGATTACATCACTCACCTTCGATTTGCCGACGATATAGTCCTTATGGCCGAATCGCTGGAGGACCTAAGCACTATGCTCAATTACCCCAATAGTGTCTCTCAACGTATAGGTCTTAAGATGGACATGGACAAAACAAAAGTCATGTGTAATGTCCATATCACATCCATGCCGGTGGTTGTTGGGAGCACTAAGCTCGAAGTGGTTAACGAGTATGTGTAAGTGGAAACTTCGACCGAGAGGTCAATCGACGGATTCAACTCGGCTGGGCACCGTTCGGGAGATTACGACACATCTTCTCATCAGGCATATCTCAAAACTCGGTTGCACAATCAGTGCGTGGTGCCAGTGATGACCTATGGATCTGAGACGTGGTCCTTCAATTCTGGTCGTTTGAGGAAGCTCAAAGTCGCTCAGCTAGCTATGGAGAGGGCTATGCTTGAGGTTTCTCTGCGTGATAAATTTAGGATCGTTCCTAAGTTTATCCTCATGAATATCCGCAGTAGAACCAGAGTGACCGATATATCCCAACGGATTAGTAAACTGAAGTGGCAGTGGGGCGGCAATATAGCTCGAAGAACCGATAACTGATACGGGAAGAAAGGTTCTCGAGTGGCAGCCTCGTACCAGCAGGTGAAGTGTAGGGCGCCCCCCAATAGATGGAATGACGACCTGGTAAGACATGCAGGAAGTTGATGGATGCAGGGGGCTCAGGACCGTGCTTTATGGTATTCCTAGGGGGAGGTCTATGTTCAGCAGTGGACTTGTGAAGGGCTGTAATGGATGAAAGTGAATGAATAGTATTATATATTCATTCATGTGGTGCAATTATGTATTACTAGCTGTGCCCCGCGGAATCACCCGCGTGTATCAAGTGTTAGTTCAAGATAGTTTCCGCGAAATCTGCGCTACATGACGTGACAGCTAGTTCAAGCGTTTTAGAAAGCAATGTATGGAAAAATTGGCAAAATTAATTTAATTAACGTTAAAGAGCGATGTTAAATTTTGTCCTAGTCTCTCCGAACAAGTCAATAAGGGCCTTAATCTATAAAAAAAGATAAAAGTATTAGCCAATTCTTTAGCTAAACTGATTGAACTAACCGTTGCATTTTCACTGCATTTTTCTCGGTTCTCATCGGACGGCTAGGGTTTATGCGTCGTTCGGGCGCCGAGCAGTGTTTCAAATTATTTTAATTTTTTGTTTTGAATTATTTTAATTTTTTCACTATTTCTAAAACTCTGCGTCCAAATAACATCCTATAAAGAGCAAAGCTTATATTCATAAAATTGTTTTGATGATGAGGTAACTTTCGTTCTGTTAGTAGGCCGATCTCGTATGACATTAAAAAAGAACCACTAAGTAACACTAAATGTTTATTAGAAAAGTTCGCATACAAAATTGATATTGTTCCTGGCTTCCGAACTTTAATGCGTCTCGGAATTTATGTCCGATATACCCAGGGCTCTGAGTCTAACTGATCATTAAAATGGAATTAGAATTAACACAGAAAAGAACAATGCAATTGCTGACTAAGGTCATATGAAGGCAAAGTACTCTGGATTAAATAAAAATTAATTATAAATGCTTACTCTAAGATTTTACTGCGTTGTAAAAATGGATATAACAGTTCGTAATGATTAATATGCCATGCCTAATAATACGGCTAATAATAACGCTCATAAATTTAAGTTTGAATAATTTTTCGTTACAATATAGCTATTTCTTATGTATAACAAATAAGTATAATATGGTATTGTGGACTTTTTTTAGATGGGCTGAAGATCTATATTTTTGTAGAACTTTATATTTACGTATCACTAGTACTATCGATAATTAATTTCAGGAGTACTTTTCTTCTGACTTGCTGAACAATTATTATTTTAGCTATCTAAGTACTATGCTAGATTTCTACTTTTTTCTTGCATTAGGCTGATTTGATTTTTTCGTAAAAGCCTATATATGCTTTTACGTTATAATTATAAACATCAAATCGGACTGGTAGTCCCAGAGATTTGTGTTTAACAAAAAAAATACTCTTCCGCTTTATAATATTATAAAGTACAGGTGTAACTCCTAATAAAGATGTTTCTTTCTTTCTAAATGCTCATAAGAAATAAAATGTTTTCTACAACCCACGCAGCAGTCGACGGCGCGGCAGCGAATGGGAAGTGCTTGAAGGACTAAAAGATGGGCAGCGTTTCGACAAAAGACCCGAGGTATTCAATGGCTACCTACACAAGAAAAGGAAGTGGCCGCTCAAGGGTTGGCACAAGGTTAGTAATCTTGCAGAAGGAGGCTGTGGGAAATAGAAAGGGAAGAGGAGGGGGCAGCAATTATAGCTACGCGCATCTTGATAGATGAACTCCGAAAGAAAGACTTACAGTCTCTCCTTCACCTCTGTAATACAAAGAGCGATTAGACGAACACCATACTTTTTTCACCAAAAAATGTCCAGGATAATATTATTCTTCTATAGTTCCCCAGAGCGTGGCAACTTCTCATTGATTTACCCGGCTTCCTTCAGAACGCCAGGGGATTGTCGGAATACGTCACTGAGGGGTGACGGAGTCTCCGTACAGAATGTGACCGCTAAGCTGCTTATTCAAGTTGAAGAAAATATTTCTTATATTTACGCGAATACTACACATTATCATTTTCATCAATAGAGCAATATCACAAGTCCACTGGTGAACCTAGGCCTCCCTTTAAGAAATTTTATAGAATAAGGGTGACAAACGAGCACACAGTCCACCTGAAGGTATGGTAAGTGGATCCTTGACCCAGAGACATCTACATTTATCCTCGATTAAGAATCAAAATACAGATGCTATTTCACCCCTTAGGACTATGATGGAATGCTTCGTTTCCGATAAAAAAGGGTCACCGGATCTCTACACTCACCATACGAAACAGCAGTATTAAGCTGCTATTTCAGGTTTTAGGTTTAAGAAGAGTTTATTATTTTTAAAAAAAGAACAAAAATCACATATATGAGACTTTAATTGGTAAAAATAATATATTTACGTACGGTGACTTATATGAATAAAGTTACATAAATATATCTAAATTAGAATTAAAAAAGCACTGTCTTTAAATTAAAATATTTTACGCTGGTATTCTGTGAGAACGTGGTCCCTCCCTGGTCGAGCCGACCCATTTGTGCTACAACCATAATATAGCTGCAGTGTGGCTCTACCACGTAATTATAAAATCATTATACAATTAATGGAATTTATCCGAAGCATACCACTGCAAGGTTTCAAGATGCTGTTAGCTTGTTCTGCGTTTATCAAACCAAAAATTAATATTTTGAACTGAAAGTAGCCGTATTTAAAAATTTAAATTTTAAAACCCTGGACCACCCTAAAACATTAAAAGTAAAATAAGTTAAAATTGAACTCGACAATTACCGAAAAATTAATTTTAATAGAAAAAAATTAAATTCGTTCTGTATTTGACGCCGTAGTCGCAAATCTATCAAAAGGACATCGTTTTATATCTGATACAAATATAAAACGGTTACGACTTTATTGGATCTAACTAGACAGTACAAGCATTTCTCTCAATCGACTGTTACGATACTTATAAATCGAAATGGAGGAATGTATTATCTTGTGCCTGGTTCACACGCGCTCTTCGTACGTATAATTATCAACTAAACCAATTTATTTGCCTACACAGTTGCATCAATCCTATAAATCATGTTCGATTTCAGCGTTTCTTCGTAGTGGATGGCGGTATATTAGTGTACGCGCGGTCGCCCTCCGATGTCGCTCGAGGGCGTCTCCATGGCTCGGTGGATGTCGGTCTTTCCGTCATCTCGGCTAAGGCCCGACGACGGCGCATAGATATAGATGCCGACGAGTTTATCTACCATTTAAGAGCGAAAACGCCTGAAGTGTTTCGCACTTGGTTAAACGTGTTAAAGGCGCACCGGTAAGTAAACCTCTTTGATAAATCTTAAAAGTGGGTTTCTTTGTACATTTTTCGCTTCAAATATGTCTATAGTTTTATATAAAAAAAAATTAATCGCAATTAGAATATACGGTAAAATTGAGAATACATAGCCATTCCGTGTGTAAAAATATTGACCTTTTAAAATTGTTTTGTAAAAATGGTCCTTTGAGCCAGATAGAACCATTTACATATTATAGCGATATTGCTTTATTTTAACAGTGAGTATTTTAGAATTATGACTCAATTTCCCACAGCTAAGAAACAACTTTACAGGGCTGTGTACAGGATATTTTTCTGATTTTTATTAGGCTGTGTTAGCCCCTGATAACATCACTCGCTTTATCATGATATATAGTTCGATATCCGCTGACACTAATTAAAATTACCACATACCAATTAGATTTACCACTTGCTCGGTTGTGAAAGAAAACCTTTAGTTTGAGTTTAACCTCGCACACACACCTGTATATCTGATAAATTAAAAAAAATTGGTAGGTATCTACATACATTTCGAGGACTTGTAAATTCTAGTAACAAGCGTGGTTACAACTCGGCGGACTCTTTCCTTCCCCAAATATGCTCTCAGAAATGTAACTAAACCAGTGCCAAGCAGTGACAAGTATGTAGGATGTTACTTTATTTTGTACTTTAAGATCAGGTTGGGCGCAAACTTTAAAACTACTAGCAACAAGATGGGGGAAAAAACGGGCCAAAATAGCACTAATGATTGCAATGTGTCTTTAATTCTGTTTCACAAACGTTGTTGACTGCCCATCTTATTATACTGGATTATTGTTCCTGTGTCGTTAACACCGCTACTGTTTTGGTTTTTTTTTTAGAATAAGGTAATTAACGAGCACACAGTCACACCTGAGGGTAAGTGGATACTGTAGCCCTTAGACATCTATCCTCGATTAAGATTTAAAATGCAGATGCGTTGTCACCCCTGTGTTCTAAGTTGGAATGCCTCGTTTCCAGTAAAAAGGGTCTCAGGTTCTCTAAACTAACCATACGAAACACAGCAGCATGAAGATACTATTTCACGTTGGTATTCTGTGAGTGCATGGTCCTATCCCGGTCGAGCCGACTCATTCGTACTAGAACCATAATATTACAGCTATACTGGCATGGCTTCACCACGAGTTTGTTTTTTCGTTGATTACCTTCTAAGATAATGACGATTGATTACATGGAAGCTTAAAACATTTCCAGTCTATACCGCCAGCACCTATTGACATTCGGTGCCCGGGAATCTGTGCCCAAAATTCACGCACCACTAGAAGAATTACCACCCACGGAGACATCATCACGTAAGTGAAAGTATCATATTCGATTTTATGTTTTCGGCTTTATGTGTGTGTGCCGTGCTATAAGTGCTAGAGGATATAATCATGCGTGTATTTTAGATTGCCTGTAAATGTTTTATTAAAACTTCTTTACCGCATTCTATCTATTTAGATTTCTTAAAATTACTGCATTAATTGTGATTAACGATTTCTCAGTTCTTGTTTTCAACAAAACTTATTGATCTTTTTAGAATTATAATTAAAGTGGTAGTAGTTAATTACGTATTGAAACAAAAAACAGGTCCATCATCTTTGTTTGTACTTGTTTTGTGGTGCCAGTTGTCATTCTTACTTTTCTTTTAAATCTGAGCAATTGTCGTGTATACTTAGTGTGGAGTTAGCAAGGCAAGTTTAATATGGCGAAATATACTCCAAAACTCAAACTGGACCAGTCGGCACCGTAGAATAGATAAAATAACTTTGAAAAATAAAAAATATTACATTTAATCTTACTTTATGTTTTTTCATTATTAATTCCTATTATTTTTGTATATCTCAGAATCTATGTCAAGAACAGAAACCTCCACCCTAAGTTCAAGTGAATGCACGCGAACCGATTCACAGACTACTTGGGCGTCTTCCGCTTTATTTCCCACATTTTCCTACAAAAAACTTTGCGCTAATATTCCTTTAAAAAATTGGTCTCGCAAATTTTTAAATAAATATGACTTGAAACCTTTAAAATATCAATTTATGGACGATGTCAATTCAAAGTCCAACAAATTGCCATTGAAGCATGCTAGTCTTTGCTCTATGAATTATGTTGAGAGAACAAGAAATATACCTAATAAATTTGAGAATACACAAAACGAATCAAAAAGTTTAAAAGCCCATGTTGAAAGAGAAATGCTCATGCACAGCACTGAGTTGGACGTGAGAATAGGTTCGACGGGATTGGAATCATTACTGTGTGCATATTCTCTTAATTCTCCGAATAGAAAAGTGTCGCCTTTAAAGAAAAGTAAAGACAAAGAAAAAAAAATAGGAACTTCACAGTGCGGCAAGGACGCAAAACGTACTACTTTAACTCAAACTGAACGCACTTTATTTTGTTTCACTCACAAAAGTCGTCCCTTTAGTGCCAACAAGAAACAGCCTTTTTTGAAACGAAGCATGAAATCAACGAATGTGGTTAAATATAAAAACGTGGTAAACGAACCACCTCTAAAGCATCCGTTTAACAAATGCACATTGCTTGGGAAATGTAATAAACTGAAGATTTCACGTCACTCTGATATCAGACCTGCAAAAGTTTTACATACGAGTAGAAATAGCAACGTCCTTGAAATCATTTCTAATGTAAAGAAATTAGAATCACTTCAAGACTCTTTTATTGGATCTGATTTCGATAAAATGACTGAAAAACTTACGGAGGCCGTAGTTAAAAAATACAATAAATCACATATTATTCAAAATGAATGCCTACTGAAAAGTTTCATAAATCAAATAGTTAAAGAGATGTACAGTGTTAGTTGCGATAACAATGATGAAAATCTTGAAAAAGCACTATTCAAATGTCTTCTAGAATATTGGATACAAAATACTTCAACTGAAAAACGAGATCCTATATCCAAAGAAGTTAAATCTATAGGCAGACCCTCGAATAATTATTTCACTCAAGACCAAAACACATCTACTTTATTTATTCCGAATTATACAAAGGAAACACAGTTTTATGGAATTGGTGATACAATAACTAAGAAAAAGCCTGGATTTTTAATAACGACTTCAGTCACACAATTACAGGAAAAAAAGTCATCCGACAGAAAAAGTTTTGACAAAGAACGACGTATACAAGAATTAGAAAGACTCCTTAAAAATACTGTATATTGTGAAAACCTACAAACTGCTCAAAGAAAAGAGGAAGATATTAAAATAACTAAAACTTTAATCGATAATATTGGTAAAATGTCACGAAATGTTTCCAAACCATACGCTTTACCTGAACTACCAGAATTACAAAATACCATAGATCATCTACTCAGCGAGACCTCCCTTCCTCCAGATTTAGCCAAGGAATTCTTTAGCGCTTATTTAAACCTTCTTAGAAATGAGAGTACTGATGACTCTAGCGTTCTAACTACTGATACTTCTAAAATTATCGAACATAGTTCTCAACCTATGTGTGAAGTATTAGCGGAATGCGCTCTAAAAACATTATCCCACGGTCTTATGGCAAAAAACTGTAATGAAAATAATCATATTATACAGAACTTGCCACTTAAAGATTCCGGTCAAACGTATTTAAACATTGTATTAAACAAAATTACTACTGAATCGGGTAATGGTTGCAATTTCGACTCTCAGAAATTAAACAGTAGAAACGAAACAATACCAAAAGATACTCATAAAGATAAATTAAAAACATGTGCCAAAATTTGTCCTAATGCAAATTCTGACCAAATCGATAAAGCAGATATTATTTCTTTTTCCAAATACAATCTAGAACATATTTCGACAACAAGTATTCCATTGATAACAGCTGAGATACCGATAGCAATCAAACTAAAAGAACCTCCCAACCTTGATTTCGAATTTACAGAAAAACTCAATCTTATACATAACGCTTGGTTTTTAAACACTAACTTAAACAAATCATCTTCAGATCAAATTTTTAATGCAATCGTATTTGATCACTCAGCCAATCACAATAAGAATTCATATCTGGATTACAATTATGATATTAAAAATGAAAGAATCAGTGTCAAACCATATTACAGCAGTCAAACAACATCTAAAATTCAAGGTGTTAAAAATAATTCTGAATATAATCCTATTTCGAATAATTGCCCTTATTTTGTCTATGATCCACAAACTTGCGTTTTAATGGCAATGAGGGAAGAGTGTTTGCAAACAAACCTTCACTCGAAAGAAAAAACAAACTTAGATAAGGCTTTGGAAATATTGCCAAATGCTTCAATTCACGTTAGTGAATCTACCGAGCTATCATCACAAGAAGAAGCAGGACCAAGAATGATCGATGAACCTTTCATACTTTGTTTGTTAAAAAATTTGGTCACGTTCTCCAAACATGTACCAACATTACACAAAGATATTCGTAGTTTATATCGAAAGCTGACAAAGAAATTTGAAAATATTGCGAAGGATTATAATAACACTGTTATACGCAATGTTTCAAATAAAGAAGTTGGTATTCAATTTGATGGATTTATTGATATAAAAGGACCAATAAATAAATCGGTTAAAACTAACGCTGAAACCAATACAATTGATTTTATTACACTCTTATCGAACAACAGAAACATGGGTAACACATCGAAAACTAGTCGATTGCCTGTAAAAGAACCACTTAATATAGGAATACAGAAAGGGAAACATATTATTATGTCTAATACAAAAGAATCGAATTATGATTCTGTAATACCAAACAAAACAAATCAATCCATTTCAAATCAAAGTTGGTATATGCAAAAGTGCACAAGAAATATCACTATAAACAGTATTACTAAAGCTCACAATCATAGATACAATAATATAACAAGAATACCAGTGTTATTAGAAAAGAAATCTCCAGCTAGAAACACTAAACAAGGTAGAGAGAGATTAGTAAAATCAATCAAAGAACTTACGCCGATACCTTTGAAAATGTCAAAACAAACTCAAATGAAAAATAACTTACTTTTAGGAGTCCAAGTACCAAAAAGCTATAAAATCCGTGAATTGTTTTTAAGTAATAGATTTAAATTGAAAAGGTCAAGTTCTTTAATCGAACCTACAGCAAACTTGGGAAGTAGTGGCGAATTGAAAACCCTGTATCGTTGTTCCAGTGATCGATTTTTCTGTTCTGGTTAGCAATATATAAATATAAATAGTTAATTCTTAATTTCTTTTATTTGAAATTTCAAAATGTACAATATATAAAATAAACCCTGTCCGATCCATGAGAGTGCTCTTAGGAATAGTTATATGATACTGTTTACATAATCCTCTTCAGAAAATAAATAAAAAAACATCTCCAAATATAGAATAAATAAAATATAACATCATGCGGTTCATCTGGTCGTGTATACAATACGGCCACGTTCAAAGATACCGTCGACAACAAGGCTGTTACAACAACCAGTTATTAAAAATTTACTTAATTGTAATAAAAAAACATATAACATTAAAAATATTAATTAATATTATGATTTTTTAACTAATGTCATTAAGGTATCTTTCTGCACCTTTCGGATCGGACAGGGTTCTATTTACATATATTTTATATTTATACAATAAACACTAAATTAGTTTTATATCCCATTTTAAAAGTATAATAAGTAGAATTTACAATATAAGTTACGCTTTTTTTAATTGTCGTGTATAAATTAGTTACTATTTCATAAACTTTTATTTTTCAAATTAGCTACAGTAGGAAGGATCATGAGTTTAAATAGCCTATTTGGATTCTGGTAGTTTTTAATGACTATAACTCTATCCATTTGTCGTATCCACGTTTAGATTGTGTTTGTTTTAAATTTACAATAGTTTAATTTAGATTTACCTAATAAGATTTTCCTTCTGAAGCAATTTGATTATCCCGAGAATAAATATTCCATTAATTTTATAATATTATTGTTATACTTATACATCTCATATTGATCAGATTGCTTTATAGACAGTGGCGGTGAATTCATTAGAAAATGGTTTACTTTTATATTATTACATATCTTCATCCTAGTTTACTCTAAATCGTAAGGTTGTCTGAAAGAAATCGCTTTGTAGCGATTAGACTGCCTTTAGTGTACATACCGTATATTTTATTCCCCTTAATCAGATTTTTTTATCATTTTTGTGGTATACAATAAAGTATATGTAATAATATTAATAACTTTTACTTAACAATATCGTTTCTTGTTAATAATCTCTACACCTATCAATTTTGTTTTCAATATAATTATTCTATTCAAACCGTCCACTATTTTTATTAGAACTCTGTAATTATCTGTCCTAAACTATATTTAATATCTAAATTTTAATTATTTAGTTCGTTACAAAAATATAAATGTTAAAAGAAATGAATTGCACAATACACCGCCACTGTCAAGCCCATCCCTATAACTTTCAGGGCTAGTTAGCCCGACGGGTGCACCACTGCGAGGCCCGCAGGCCGGCTTTGTGTCGGGAACGCCTGGCGGCCGATTGGCTGGTTGGATAATAGGTATGCTTAAGAATTCGGTCCATTTAGATTAAGCTACGTGTATAATATAAAAGTAATATTAGTTGCTATGTAATGGGTTCATTTATTAAAGCTAAAATTTCACACAACAATTCCGATACATATCGATCGTGATGGTTACAAAACGTTTTAAATTTTACTATAGACTGCAAATCCTTTGCATTTTACGAATTGTTTGATGCTTGAGAGGATATTCGGGCGATGTTTATTCCATAGAAACATATTCCTCGGAAATGACACTAGAACTAACATGCTCTTACGATACAATCTATAAATTTTTTCTTTTTTTTTTTAAACGAATATTAACAATGCTATAAACATTACTAATATTCCCCTTAACCACTCGTGGTAAGCTTAAATTGCTTGTGTTACGAGTGGTTCACGCCAGTAGTCGAATGGCGGATTCGAACCCACGACCTTTTTGAGTTCTCGGTCCGCGCCATGCCATTAGGCTACTGTCGCTCTAAATATATTACATTGCTATGTTACATTTTATACCTATAAACTTTCTAAAATTATTAAAACTAAGTTACCCTGAGTTATTCGACATCCAGTAACCAAGTTTTAGTAGCCATGATATATAAAAGAAAAACATATAGAACAAAGCCAGAATCCTTCCTTAATTGTTCCTTAAAAAACGGTCTCATTTTGGTGAAGGAAAAAGTTACACCCGTCATAATGATTTTTAATTTCTCTTATGTATGTTTAGTTCGAACTGCAGCTGTCTCTCTCTGTTGTCTAGCTCGGTCGTTAAAGTCCAATTCTTTAAATTTCTTTCAGTCCGATATCCTCCTAATGTGCGAAGAAGGTGGATACTTTCTTAAACCGAATGGCAATTGATTTGCAGTCAAATCATTAATTTTCGCTTTAATGAATTAACACACAGATATAGTATTTATTATGCGTAAATATTTAAAAGATAATTTACAATAGATCTGATGACATTTTGGGTTTCTTTTCAAATCTACATAGTGTTGCCTGTTGCCCATAAAGTTTTATTCATTGGTAAAATAATAACTTAGGTTTAGTGAATGGCATGTATTGTTTTAGTGCTTGAAGTTCGTGTTATCAAATTTTAAATCATTTGATATATTTTATTTATTTATTCGATCACATAACCAAAGATTTCTTCTTCGGATATCAGATGAGATTGAATTTTCTTACCTGATTTTAATAAAAATGCATATAACCATTTTGTTTAACGAATATGCCAAAATTTGCAAAAAAGAGCATAAAATGGTTAAAGTATTTAAACAAAGAATTATTAAAAAAACATATGTCTGTCATAATTACAACAATGCTTTGTTCGCACTTAATTTGTAAAATCAAGCAACACAGCACTTCTTTGACATTAATACAGAAATAGTCTGTTGATTTTCCTTTTCGTTTCAATTTTTAGAAAATTTTTAGAATTTGAATCGCTCTCAGGTGAATTAATTGTTTTCACTAATTGTGCTGCTATTCTCGGGAAAGGTCCTGAAGTACATTACGCACATCGCCCCAAAATTAACGATACCATCCTTATCGTCTGGATACTTGGCGGTCCACCATAGTGCGTTTTACTAGGAGTTTTCTACCTCGTACAACTTCTCTGTGGAGTTGTTTACCACCGGCGATTTTTCCGGACCGATACGAGGACCTTCAAGAAAAGAGCTTACTCCTTTCTAAAGGGCCGGCAACGCACCTGCAATTCCCCTGGTGTTGCGGTTGCTCACGGGCGGCGGTAGTCACTTACCATCAGGTGAGCCGCATGCTCGTTTGCCCCTCTTCTATAAAAAAACGTATATTACTGCACAGGGAGCTGTCCCTTGTCAGTAAGAACTTGTGATAATCAACACCCTTAGCAGATGTATTGGCAAACACAGTATCACATACCTATGACGCTGCAGCACATTTTCAATTAAGGTATATTCTATTGACACTGGACTACTACCTCATTGGTCTTGGGTTCGTATCCCGAGTTGGGCTAAAATCAGTTATTGGGTTTCCCTGTCAGAAATTCTCAGTAGCAGTCCGGAAAGAAGTTGACCGTGATTCACCCCCGTGCCTCGGAATGCACGTAAAGCCGTTGGTCCTGCGCCTAATCTCTCTCCGGTCGTGTCAGTTTACCATCCCATCGCATTATGAGAGTGAGTGAATAGAGAGTGCACATGTGCTTGCGCATACACACGTGCACTATAATCCTGACCTGCACCGATGGCTAGTCTCCGTTAAGACTGTCCACCGTGTCCTTAATACAGCCTGGAGGACATTTTTTTTATTTTGCTGACACACTTTTTTTTCTATAATTGGTAGCAATACAGGTTTACGCACCAACCTCGACACATCCCGATGAGGAGGTGGAGGAAATGTATGAGGATATTTCTAAAGCCATGCGTTTAATACTGCTCGTATCGAAGAAGCGATCGAGCGACACTGCAGCTATATTATGGTGGTAGCATGAATGGGTCGGCTCGACTGGGATAAGACCACGTTCTCACAAAATACCAGCGTAAAATAGCAGCTTAGTACTGCTGCTTTTCGTATGCTGAGTGTAGAGATCCGGAGACCCTTCTTTATTGGCAATGAGGTATTCCATCTTAGTCCTCAGGGGTGACAACGCATCTGCGTTTTGATTCTTAATCGAGGATAAATGTAGATTGTCTATGGGCTACAGCATCCACTTACCATCAGGTAGACTGTGTGCTTGTTTGTCACCCTTATAATATAAATAAAACATATGTAATAACTCTGGCACTGCGAGTTTTGTGTAAAGTCGATATTCTTTGCGCAGATTCAGGTGGTCCCCTGGAGAATGCTTCGCGGGAACTGGGCCAAGCCCAGCTCTCCGTCCAGCAGTTGCAGCGGTTGCTCGACGCGCTTGAAATGCAACAGCAGGTCCACCACGACACTGATGTAAGTTTGAAATTTATAAACAGAATTGTATTTTAGATAAGCGACGAAAGCCTAATGATAAAGTGCGGACTGCGATCTCCAAAATTCGTGGGTCCGAATTTCGTGTATCCGAATACTGTCGTGAACCACACCTAACACAAGCATTTTAAGCTTACCAGGATTGGTTAAAGAGAATATTAGTTATGTTAATAGTTGTGAGACAGATATCCATAAAGCAGAAATATATTATTGGATAGATAAGACAAGAATCTACTCTTATTTAAATGCCTGGCAACGTAGCTTCTTCCACTTGACCGCATCCAGCGCAGAGCGGCTCGAATCGTCGACGACCGAGTGCTTTCCGATCGGCTCGATTCACTGGCGCTGCGAAGAGATGTTGCATCTCTTTGCGTATTTTATCGCATCTATCACGGGGAGTGCTCTGAGGAATTGTTCGGATTAATCCCAGCCGCCAAATTTCGTGAACGCACCACACGTCAAACGTCCCGATACCATCCACACCATCTGGATGCTTGGCGGTCCACCACTGTACGTTTCACAAGGAGTTTTTTTCAACGTACAACCTCTCTGTGGAATAGTTTACCACCGGCGATTTTTCCGGACCGATACGACCTGGGGACCTTCAAGAAAAGAGCTTACTTTCTAAAGGGCCGGTAACGCACCCGCAATCCTCCTGGTGTTGCGGTTGATCATGGGCGGCGGTAGTCACTTAACATCAGGTGAGCCGCATGCTCGTTTGCCCCTTCTTCTATAAAAAATAGCTGCAGTTCTCCTCGTATAGTAGTTGTTTATGAGAGGCAGTAGTCACCATCAGGTGTGCCGCATGCTCGTTTGCTCACACTTCTATAAAAAATTCAGGTGTTTTGTTAAAGTATACATAAGCAAACTGTGTACCTACTTTCGTTACTTCATTAATAATTCAAAAAATCCTCAAGTACTTTGGAGTAATATAAAGAAAAACGTGGTAAACTTTTCAAAAAAAGGCATTGCTTTGCCATCAAACGTTAATAAACCTGACATCGTAAACCATTATTTTCTAGGCGTACTAGAAAGCAGTAGTGTAGTGCAACATTGTGTTATTTTGAAACTAACCGTTACAATTCATCAGTTTTTACTTCAAAATTAGTGAATGAAAATTTACTACCAGAAATATCGAAAAATATTTCCACTAATGCAGGTGTTGATGGTGTCACTAAAGATACGGTTCTTTTGACAATGCCACGAGCTTTGAGTGCAATAAGAACCATTATTAAGGGGAAATAAAATGGCTTAGCAAGATACTTCGTTATGCCGAAAATATTGCAGCATTAATTTTGAAATAAATATATGGTAAAGTTGAGGATTATGTTAGACGAAAACACGATTTCGTAAAATTTTCTCGATAGAAAAAAAATACAAAGTTACCTCCAAAATAAACAATAAACCGCTGTTATTCATAAAATACTTTAAATAAGATGATATAACTTTGCATACTAACTGAACTAAATACAAAGCAGTGCTTATGTTATTTACTTTTTTTAAAATACCATTATTTTCACTGTAAAAAGAAATTACCTAAACTATCGGCCTCTTGAAGCATGATTCCTGCCGCCCGTTCACTTCGCTTCGGCCTTTGAAGGGGGAGGTTATGTCGCTTACGATCAGAATATACATTACGCAACAGGACGACGTAAAATAAAAATGGGAAATAACCGTAATAAAAATAAGAAGCGACTGGCTTGGCGTTAAGAAACAGGCATAAATATGATAAACCTAATGAAATAAGTGTCTAACGACCTATCTACTTACAGTATTAGTGATTACAAACATGTCGGTACATAGTATACGACGCGCGGGCAAGTGGGGACGAAATTAGAATTTGAGCTGACTTACTATATCCCCTTAATACGTCTATACATACAGGGGTTTACCCAGACATTTGGAAGGAAGCTGTAATAAATCCAATAGCAATCATCCTGCAAAACTACATCACCTTCGACCTATAAGTATATTGCCCCTTAATGATTTCTTTAATTTACGCGAACACTACACATTGAATAAAACTATATTTACGGATTTTATCGTGTTTAATCAACTATTTTAACTTAGTTTTTAATTCCCGACGTTTCAGGTGCTTTACAGCACCCATGGTCACTGGGAGAACTGCAATGTTTGACGTCCCAATGTCATAGTTAGTCCAGCTAACTTCAGTTTTTGAATATTAATTTTTGGTTCGATTTACACAAAACGAGCTTATAGTATAATGAAGTCTTGCAGTGATATACTTGGGTTTGGGTTTAATTTTGTTAATTATAGGAAATTAATTATATATTATATGGCAGCACCCATCCATCTTCTCTATTGAAATCAAGATGTTTTTAATTTCAATAGCCTCGCGAATCATCCTTAGGTAGGAATCGGTGTTCTTTTGCGAGGATTTGTGGTTTATCAAATCTCATGTAATGGTGGGGACGATCTTGAACATGTTCACAGACTGCAGACTTCTCGGAGCGTCGGTGCTTCACGTCAGCTATATGTTCCTTCACGCGGGTTTTTATTAATATTTTTGTTTGACCTATGTAAGAGAGACCACATTCACAATCTAGCTTGTACACACCTGCATCTTGTAGAAGAATATTACGTTTGATGGGTGGTAAAAATTGACTAATCTTCTTCGGAGGCTTGTAGATTTAATGGAAGCTCGCTTCAAGATGTAGCCAACCTTGTCTGTGACTCCTCTAACATACGATAGTACAGCAGGCACACGCTCGACTGTGGCCGGCATCACTCGTTCACTGTGACGTAGGCGCGGGACCCGAAGCTTGTTGTCTAACAATACTTGCTTGACGTGCTGAAGCTCGGCGGCCAGATGTTTTCTGTCACAAATCCCTCGTGCTCTCTGAAACAAAGATTTACCCACGGTAGCTAACTGTGAAGGATGATTTAGACTGGTCCACATAATAATTTATGTGAACCAGTACGTAGTAAATATATATTGCCCCTTTTATATAAAATCGCAGAAACGGCTGTTCATATGCAATTAGTAGAATATCTAAACTAGAACAATATTTTACCTCTAAAACGAGGTTTTAGGGCTGTATTAAGCACGGTTACAGCGCTATTAATTGTTGGCGATTATATTCTTACAGCGCAGGATAAAGGAGAGGATACAATTTTGACAATGCTGGACTTTTCGCGTGCATTTGATTCGGTAAATACTACTCTACCTCTGTCTAAATTAATGTATTATCGTTTTGACTGTAACGCATTAAAGTGGTTTGAAAGGTATTTAAATGATCGCACACAGCGAGTCAGGCTACGATATGAAACTGGTACCAACATTTTTCAGGTCATGCGACACCGTTTTTAAATCAGCGCAAACTTATTTATATGAAATATCGTAAATCAGTTCATTACAATTGTTTACTTTATAAAATATTACAAAATCAGCAACCGAAATACTTATATGAGACGATCAGATTCTCTCAATGTTTCTCATGGGAAACTGTTCGTTTATTGTACACAAGACATAGAACGGCCACGTTTCGTGGTAGCTTTCGGTATGCTGTGATAAAGTGCTGAAATAATATACCATATTATACCAAAAATAGCGACACGGTTCGTACTTTATAAAAATAAATGAAAGAACACACCTTTCTTATGAAGTATACTGTGTCTGTATGTTATAAAATTAAGAAATACTGATTTTATTTTACTTTCAATATTTATATTGCATTCTTATCTTGATTTAATTTACTTATGTGTCCATTTTTCCACCTTCATACTTCAACCAGCTTTCGCAGTCCACACTTGTTTTTGGATTTCAAAAATGGATGAAACAAACAAAACTCCTGATGTTGGGCCTTATTTTTGCTATCGTCCTCTTATTTTCCAATTCACAACTTAAAATCTAGAATTACATAATTTTTAACTTTATTATGTACCTTAATACTATTCAAAAGCTTAATTTTGAACATTGATCCATATGAGTTAGTAATACAAAGATCTTAATTTCTAATACTATCATTAAATTGTAATTACGAAAGAAATCATGTTACTACAAAATATTTGACAATAACGTGGTACAGCACAACTCTAATTGAAGGAAACACTTAAGCGAAGGGCGCCTGCGGCCAAAATAAGTTATTGGAATTATTTGTCAAAAATTCTCTGTCGTAGCCCGGAGTCAAGCAGTTAGCGTTGGTTGTTTCACCCCACCGTGCCTCAGAAAGTAACTAAAACTGTTGTCGGTCCTGCGCCAGATCTTTCTCGAATTTTGTCGTATTTTTCTGTCGCCGTCCCATCGGCATATGAGAGTGAGAGAGTGCACCTGTGCAACAAACACACGTACAGACTCGCCGCCATAACTGTGATCTATTTCTTATAAAGTTAATTTATTCATTTGATCAGGTCTGTAATTTATTAAACTTCTGCCAGGTTTCAATAGAGGGCGCTTCTCCGAACGTTAAGAAAGATCGCCGCAAGTTTGGTCTAAGAAAAAAGAAATCCAGCAACAAATGCGCTTCCATAGAACTCGCACCACCGCATATAGATCCGTCTAACTCACATATGGTAAGTTTTCATTTGATTTTATTAGTCTCAAATCAAATCATGATTCCCAATTTGACTTTGAATCATGCATTGTTAGTCCCCTTGTTTTATGGAGCCGTTATTATGTTGATAAACTGTACATGGACTTACCCAAACTTAAAGCCTTTGTTTGTAAGGCTATACACGTACTTATTTTCTTCGAGAAATTACTACGTTTATTGTAGCTTTATAGCTATAATTTAAAAGCGATGAAATTAAGGAAGTAAAATTGACTCGTTTCTCGCATAGAGCTTAAGTGTAATATAAATAAAAAAGTTAAAACTGGCTGGTTTTAGTATATTTGGAATAACTGAATGCTATGGGTCTAGGATCAAATCCTAAGGACATGATTTAAGTAGATAATGCAAGAACTACGATTTGAGTGAAAAACAAAGAGTAATAAATTTTTTTTTTATTATGATGCCATAAGCGAAACCTCTTTCCGCTCTAAATCGATTTGAAAGCGCCGCGCGGCTCATAGTATTTTAGTTTTAGTAGTCAAATATCGATTGGTGAGAATTGATTCGTATATCGATTTTGTAATTTATTAATTCTCTTAAAATAAAGATTACATAGGAAACTAAATACAAAGAGAGCGGGGAATGTAGTACCTATTTAGATCTATGTCTGTAATCTCATCTCAATATTTTTTCAAATGTGAATTGTTAGGTCTTGGGGTAAACAGAGGTGCGATTTGGTAACTCTGGTGGGACGTTAGAATCACTTTACATTAATTATGTTAATATTTTCGCCCGAATGCTTCAAAAGAGGATAATGTTTTTTCGAGAGTCATGTATGTAAAATGTGTGTAGACTATTGGATGTCTTTAGATTCTTATTAGTTGTAAAAGTGTATATTTTTCTTCTCTTTTCAGTAAACTTCTTTAAGCGGTCGGGTTTTTTTTAATTGCCTTTTAAAGTTTGTAGTGAAATAATATTACACATTAATAACAAATAATATACTCGCGATACCCGCCAGAGTAACACGTTGTAACTATATCACTGAATAACCCCCCCTTCCCCCCCAGGCGCTGTCAGCGCTGACCGCGCCGTCGTCGCCGGGCGGGGGCGCCTCCGCTGCGCCCAACTCCGCCGCCTCGCTGCCCATCGGTGAGTCCCGCTCCTCACTCACTCACTCACTCACAACTCACTCATTATTCGTGTGTGTTAACCGTGTTTAGAGCCGCTTTGCTATCAGATTAATCTCTGTATGCGCATAATAAATTCAATTAACGCTTATGTTATTATTTTATTTTATATATATATATATATATATATTACGCGAGTTACCGAATGGGAACGAACTGACTCCTGAAATACAGGGTATCCTAGTTTGGGAGTCAGGGCTCAATGATGTTGTGTGAAATTATAAGTGTCAAATAAAGAAATTATTGTTATTATTATTATAGTCAATAAGAATATATTGTACTACCCGTGCGTTTAAAGAATAGGATTGGAAATGGCGACGTCTCTATTCATCTCTCGCTCGCACACTGTCGCTATCTATATACTTACACCCGGCGGTAGAGACTGCAAAAGAACTACGTTGCGATATGCGTTTTTCGTACGTTCTAAAACTTCAGTTTAACTTGTCATTGGAATCAATGATAACAAAATCCCATAAACTATTTAAAAAAAAGTCCAGCTTCGCTAATTTGTGAACTAAGACGCGTTTTGATAATTTTCTTTATAATTATTGTTGAGTTTTTTTGTTAATAAAATATTTTCATGCTATTGAGACATGAGTAACCATTTTTAAAAATTTCGCTTGTCTCTTTGTCTGAGCTAATCTTCAGCATGGCAGAACTTATTGTAATAAAACCTTATTAACAAATGAAAGTAATACCATGAGTGATCTTGACAAAATTTTATACGATTTTTTTATTAAAATAGAAATATTGATAAGATAAAATAAATAGTTTTTAATGACTATTATCTTAAGTCTAAATAATGCCACATTAATAGATCCCACCCAGGCGAAGCCACAGCGGGAGGATAGTTATAAATGTTATTTTAAAATTAATGTACTAATACAATTTTTTTCGCAAATGCTACACATGGTATAATAGTTTTATTTCACGAACTTTACAGCGTTTAATATTGTTACGAGCTTGAGGTTCTTCACAATAAAAACTGCCGATTGAATTACCAAAATTTACGCTTTTATTACCGAACACCAATTAAAACTCAAAACAGTAATAATTAATCACACTGATTCACTTTATTTCGCTCCGAAGCTTCGCTTGTCTCGCCAAATTCAATACTGCCCCGATCGCGTATTGCAGAGCCTTTAAATACTCCTTTTTCACCGAAACATCCAGAATATTCAAGTAAATACGCGCGCCAATCGACCAGGCGCCGAAAGTTCGAGTGTGAGGCTTCTAGAAAGCTTAGTTCTTCAATTCGATACTAGATGGCGCTGTTGGTTGAAAGATTAGTCATGTCATTTTCTGGAAAGCTCTCCTTGCTCTGTTACCCGACACTAGATGGCGCTAGTGCCAGACGTCAACTTAGGTGCGCAACAATATTAACTTTTTAAATTCCCGACGTTTCATCAAGAGACGTCCAGGTGCTGTGAAGTCGGGAATTCAAAAAGTTAAAATCAAACGCAATAAAATCTGTAAAGTTTTATTTCATGGCGTCTGTACACGCTCGTCGAGACACCACGATACAGGCCGAGTACGAGTGTGTGCATGGTGTTCTCATCGCGTCGCGTCGCGTCCCGTGCGCTCTTTGAAGCGTGTCGGTATTTTGCGTTCGGGTCAAAGGGTCTTGTGAGCCTCGCGATGAAAATGAGATCGTAGTTACGCTCTCATGAAAATCTCGATGAAAATGAGAGCGTACTATTTTATATTCACCGGACATGGTTCATTTACCGTAAATACAAACCATCCACCACCATTTTCTTCGCCGTGGCTTATTAATTTTATTTTCAAGGTAAATCTGTAAAAAGTTATAATAACTAATAGCACAAAGGCAAAACGTAGCAACAGTTTCATCTACGTCCATCTCAGCGGGCATACGGAGTTCAAATGATACAACGCGTGTGTACGTGGTGTGTTCTCGTGACGAGCCTCAACACGACGGACGAGCGAGTACAGCCGGCATCAGACGCTATTGAAGTTAAAGTTTGTCTCAGTTTTTTATTAGTCTGTGGAGAACAAAAAGGTCTCTGCCAAAAATAGTACCCATTGTTTGGCAGAGACCTTTTTGTTCTTCACATTTGTGTATGTACGTCCATTTCTTTGTTCACTCGTAACTTCTAATCTACCTTTCGGATTTTGCATTGAAGTAATATGTACCTACGTACTAGAACAGCTATCTCAAACAAAAAGTGTGCGCTACTCTGTGTTCGCGTGGTTGGTTTTTTATCATAGAATAAACATAGGTAGAATGACCCGTAGGTAATAGTAGATTGTATTGTTAAATAGGTAAATTATATCGGGAACAATATTTAAATTTTGTCATTTATTTCGTATATTATATTTGCTTATTTAATATATTACATAATATTATATCACAATTACATTTTAAAGATATTTTTATCTGAATATTTTAAAAGGTATCTATGTCAAAAAAAAATTAAATGTATGTTTAACAAAACTTATTAACATAACATTTAAATTACAAATATATTTATTTAACCTGTTTGCTGTTCTTTCTGAGCTAGCGTGTTAAATTAGAATAAGAATCGTTCATAAATGCTGGGCAAGCGAGTGTTAAAAATGGATGAATTTATTCCACTTTGACTTTGATGTGGAAACCTAAAAATAAAATAAAGGAATAATAAGCAGATTTAAACATGAAAAATTTAGCCTAATTATAATAACTTATATATGTGTCTACAAAAAAATGTGTATAATAAATATATTCGTCCTATACTTAAGCACCCACAGAAATGTCGCATCTGAACATTAATTTCATAATCTATATTCATGAATCGAGATGTCGTCTTAGGAATAATTTGTTTTATTATTAATCTATAATACTTACTTTTTTATTGATTAAGTATCTTATTAACCGATGAAAAGTAATTCCTTGGTTTTTACTGACATTTCTTGAATTATTTGTGCAATATCTAAGTACACACGACGGCATATTTTTATCAAGAGATTTTTTTAAATCAACACAACACGTGACAACTCTACAAACGCCTACCGAGTGACTGATTAAAGTGCGGTGTATTCACCGCAGTCGAATGGAACAGAGTAGCTGAATGCAGTGTCGCCCCTAGTACGTAGTACATAATAGCTCAATGAGATTTTGGCAAATTATATGTAAATCGATTTTTCGTAATTGCGCGAATAACACTATATGGCGTCTTGAAATTGCGGATATAAACTATTTAAAAAAATAACTTAAAATAATAAGCAAATATAACATTTTTATTATTACATGATACGATACATCTTCCATAATGGAAGAGACTAAAGTCAAGCTGTGAACTATAACAGGCTAATGGTAATAGGTATTAATTAGTGCATTCCAAATATATTAAATTTCCATATAGGTTTTCTTATTATAATTTATAACACATAGTGTCACGTAGAAGACGGAGAAACAACAAAGAATTATTAAGCCAAAAAAATATGTGTTTGAGTTATAATTAAGTTTATATTTCTGAAAATACAATAAATTTCGAAAGTCGCACTCTTAACAATTTTAGCAGTAGTCCTTTAGAATAATTATTCGTTATTTTACTTTATTATGCGCATATCAGCCATTTGGTGTTTGTGTTTTTTTCTAGAGTTAAACGTAACCTGTAACGAAGTTTAACAGTCCTGTGGTTGTAAGCATTTTTCAAATCAAGCGATAGAAAGAACACCCAGCAAACATGTTTTTGTAGCGGTTTTGTATCTGTGTTGTGTTAGTTAAACTGTGTCTTGTGGTCACTATATTAAAATATTTTTTTTTGTTTTATAATTTGTTTACATAGAAATTAGTATTAAATGTTGTTCTTAACTATGTCTTTTCGAGGATTCTACGAAATTGGTAAGTTTCATTAGTGCGACGACCGCCATCTTGTAGTTTTTGTTTACAAAATGGCGTCGAGTGTCGTGGCTCCGTCATACTGCACGATTGATTATAGCATGTGATCTATGCTCGATTTTGTGTAATGTTTTAGAACTAACGGATAGCTGAGTGGTAGATAAAAAAATCCGCGCTGCAATCATCTGTCAGAATAGTTTTAAGTATTTTTTTTAACTTAGGTAGATTCGGTTATTATTAATAAAATAAGTAATTTATGTATTCTATAATCTGACGAACTGTGTAGTAATAACTAGAAACTAGAATTATTTATTTCAACAAAAGGTAAAGTAACATTTTAAAAATAGCTTACTCTATTAGTGCTTAATCAAACATAAAATACTAATTTTCTTTTCTGATCACTTCCTGTAACTATTTTGACAGATGCTAATCAGTAATGATCAATAACTTTTGAATTCTATCATAATTATTTAAAAAAAAAAGAAACAATTCTAATAATATATTTTCTCGTTTTGCCTTCCAGCGTTTCTTTCGACATTTCTGGCCACCACTTTAGTTCGTAAGACTTATTTTTCTTTTCTTTTTCAACCCCTCTTCACGACTCCCGTTCACGCATACGCAGTTTATATTATCTGTCACAACGTGCAAACGAATATAAATTTTTATTTTCATTATTTTAGAGTATAAAATTGCAGATGGTATAATAGCGTTTTCATTTCAAAGATTTATAGAATGGAAATGAATGTGTATAAGGTCCCGTGTTTGTATAGACATACGAGCTTTGAATCGTTTTCTGGTAAAAGATGAAGCAACTGTTTGAGTATGTTCCCATGCTTTATCTCCCTCATCCTGCTCCATTCATATAACTCTACAGATTATAAGATTATACAACATGGTCAGTCTAATATTATAGAATATAATGTCCTCCAGACCGAATTTCGGTCTAGGCGACCAGTCTCAACGGAGACTAGCCATTGGTGCAGGACTGGATTATAGTGCCCAAGTGTATGCGCAACCACAGGTGCACTCTCCATTCCCTCGCTCTCGTAATGCGATAGGACTGTAAACCTTCACGACCGGAGAGAGAGAGAGAGATCAGGCGCAGGACCTGCTTTACGTGCTTTCCGAGGCACGGGGGTGAGACACCGCCAACTTCCTGACTCCGGGCAGTAACTGAGATTTTCTTGACGGAAAAATGGGCCATGACCATGGGCCTCATGGTCAACAATTATGGAGTGTATGATATAAGTAAAAAAGATCATTGTAGTGTGTATTTTATACCTTCACGCTGCGTTATGACTGAAGCACGAGTGGGTCGGCTAAACCGGAGGAAAACTACGCTTTCAAAGAATACCAGCGTGAAACAGCAGCTTAATGCTGTTGTGTTTCGTATGGTAAATGACGAGAACCGTAGACCGTTTTTAATGATGCCGAAACATTCTTAATCTTAGTCTTAAGAGGTTACAATGCATTTGCATTTTGATACATTAGAGGTATGTTCCGAAATACAACCCAGTAAACTGGCCAATGCAAATGACGTCATAAATCGACGCCATTCTGGTGATTAGTTGTATGGAATATGGTGGAATATTCCGTCAATTAATGACGTCATTTGCATTGGCCAGTATACTGGAAACATTTCGGAACATACCCTTGAATGATGGTTATCTCTGTGGGGCATGGTATCCACTTACTATTAGATGAACTATATGCTCGTTGTCATCCTTACTCTAAAAAGTACAAATATTTTCGCACATTATTGAAAATATATAGTGTAGTTGTTTCCGCAAAAGACAAATCTTCAGTCTGAATAAATTCAATACTTATATAAATCTTTTTACATCTGATGTTGTTGTATTACATATTACATTTTCTTAAATAAAATATTTAAATTATCGTATATGCTTACACAATATAATGTTTTTAATATCAACGGCATTGTCCAATGCACGGTACTAGATCAAAAATGTTTGTGAAACACAGTAATTCCATTTACATCAAATCTCTTGCAGAGATCAAAGTATAGGGTTGCCAAACATAAATGTAAAAACCGATATTTTGGACCTTACCTCGGTTCAAAGAACCATTTCTTGCCAAATCTATGTTATATTCTTATTTTTATATAAGGTGTAATTTTTGTCCATTCTATACGTCAACACCATGTCCTCCATTTCGTACAGTATTAACCATATCATATGTTACATCCTTTCTTTAATTTTTTTGAATAGTTTTAAAGTATAATTATGTTTTTTTTTTTCATAAATATTTCAATAATTTTAACCGTCCCTTTAATGTATGGTTATTAACGTCTGTGCCATTTGTTTTTATGTAAGTGTACTGTCTGACCGTCAATTTTATGTCGTTGACTAAGCCGATCGTGTGGCGATGTTTTCAACTGACTGCTAGATCGCAGAATCCAGGTTCAATTCCCAACCGATTTCCGAACATTTGTATATGATCGGAAATTATTGATACGAATCAACATACAAATTTTGTAAGTGGTAGAGCCACGCTGCAGATATTATGGTTGTAGCACCAATGGATCAGCCCGACAGGGGATGAACAATTAATAACAAAGTATTTCACTCAGGTGGTATGCGAGTGTGACACATCCGTGCTACAGTGTGACTCTATTGCGTAATAATGCCCTTATCAACTGTGTGAGCGATGTCATACGTAATAAAAACATTATGTAAATTCATCATGGTGCACGCTGTTTGGTTAATCGACCTTGTATATTTATCTCACACGTCTGGTTTTTCACTGATAAAGATAGGTTATCTCATGATAGATCTATTCTTAAAAATTTCTTATTGAATACGGAATTTTGATCTATAAACGTTCATTAAAACCTTTCTCCTGACCGAAGCAATAACCTAGTTTTAGTGTCAGATTAGATAGATTTTAAATATTTTTACTATTGTAATTTGGTTCGCAAAGTTATTATGTGTGTGTTTTTGATTTTACAAGATTAAAAAATGTCGTTTGATAGTGGCGGTGTTCTAGTGCCTTTAGGAAAATTCATTTGCAGTTATTTGTTGAAGTTGTTGAGGGAATGTGAAGAACAAGCTATATGTAAGTTAACATTAATAATTTTAGTCTTGTCCCCGGAAACAATTGAGAGGTTTATTTGGATTAATTAATGTAGTTATAGTGACTGCCATTTTGAGGTTAGACATTAGATTACTAGTTCATTTATATTATCGTATATCGACTTATGGCATATAAAGTAAGAGTTTGTCATTAGTGTAGTCTTAGTGGATGCAACGTCGAGATTGAAGATTAGTATATTAATAAATTTTGTGCAAGAGTTTTATATTAAGTGTATATAGTGTGTCTTAATGACTGCACATCGAGGTTAAAATATAGTTTAGAATAGTATTTAATTTAGACCTATTACATTTTATAGTCAACAAAATCTAAGAAATACCTTTTGACGTTTCACATTAATCATTCCGCAATAACTTTGCATAAGCGTACTCACATTATTTAAAATAACATTTTACGCAAATCCGAAGAATTATGAAGTTATCTATATTTCATTTCAACGTGTATAGGTTTTATCACTAATTTAAATTTGAATCTTTCAAACAAAGCAAAATATTAAAAAAAATAACCGGTATTAACTTTTTTTTACTTGACGTCGTTTCAATGACATGTCGCTATATACATTACCGTAGTGTTTGAATGATTAAAATTCATTCTTATGCGAATAATCGGCAAAAATATTCAAATAATCGGTAAAAATATTTAAATAATACAAAAGCACTAGAAAAAAAAAAAAAAATTAAATAATTAAAAAAACTTACTTTTCCCAACTTTTTTATCACAATTTTTTTTTGATCCATTTTTTTTTTAGGTTTTTTGGTGCCTTCAACATTTTTAGAAAATGAATAAAAGTTAGCACTAAGAACTAACACAAGCTGGTGCTACCAGTTTCTCGACTCCACAGTCAGTAATTCATTCTTGGGGCTATGTATACGCTATTACAACAAAGTCCCAGAAAATATACAAGGTCTCTCTATTACCAAGTTTAAATATTCAATTAAACAAAAACTGTATAAAGGGTTATTATTTATTATTTAATTATGGTTTATGGTCCGATCTATGCAAAATGAACTGACTATGTCTTAAGGTCTTGCAGTGGTATGCTTGAGTTTAGTTTTAATTTTATCGATTATAGGGTCCCAAGCAGTAAGCAGTAGTACCCAGCCTCCTTCTCTATTAAAATTGGGATGTTTTTTAATTTCAATAGCCTCACGTATCATCCTTGGTAGGAACCGGTGTTCTTTCGCGAGGATTTCTGGTCTATCAAATCTGATGTAATGGTTGGGGCCGTCTAGGATATGATCACAAACTGCAGACTTCCCGGAACGTTGAACGAACGGGAACACCGGTTCCTACCAAGGACGATACATGAGGCTATTAAAATTAAATAACATCCTGTAGTCCGTTCGCGTTAAGAAAATAGTGAGTCATCAGTGCAACTACAGGGTAAAGGTGTATTCACAGTGGAGTAAAAATTCTTTTATTTCCAAACATTTAATTAAGTTTAATGGAAACAAATTTTCTTAAAATTACTTAAATCACTAATCAGTATCGCTAGATTCTCCAGTTACATTAATTATGAAAGAATTTTGTTCTGCAAGTTCCATGATGTCATCCAAATTCCACATGGTATTTACGTCGCGTATCACGTGGTCGCAAAACTTCTTCCAGCGATTAGCGTCTATTAATGCTATTGCGTCATCTAATAATTTTTTATGTCACTCATTTTGAACGTGGAGTTATTGGCACCAACATAATTTTTTATTTGGGCCCAAACCAATTCAATTGGATTAAGTTTGCAATTGTAAGGCGGTAGGCGAAGAATTATAATGCCATTACTTTTGGCAGTCTCATCTATTAAATATTTATTATATTGTGGGGCGATTTCGGCAACTTTCATTAATAATTCTTTTTACTTTAAATTAATTCATGTCCAAGTATTTGAAAGTACTTATAAACATTGTAAATTACGCGTCTCTCTCCGCTATGGATTATTGATCCACTTTATTCTTTCGAATAGGTGAGGTATTCATTTTCAAAATTTAATGTTGAACAAGTAACACGCAAAATACACAACCGTTTTGTTCGAAGGCCTGACTTCAACTAGTCACTGTGAACTCGACTTTCTAATTTCTTGAATTTTAATTGGCTGGGGGGCGTGGCCAGGCCGGCGGACAACGATGACTCATTATTTTCTTAACGCGAACGGACTATAATTTCAATAGAGAAGGAGGCTAGGTACTACCACCTGCTTGGGACCCTATAATCGATTAAATTAAAGCTAAACCCAAGCATACCACTGCAAGACCTCAGGACATAGTCAGTTCATTTTGCATAGATCGGACCATAAACAATAATTTAAAAAATAAGCTTACCTTCAGCTTATTTTTTAAATTATTGTTTATGGTCCGGGTTTAACAAAGATATCGGGACGCCAGTTACCTCAGTCCCCCGTGACCATGGGTGCTGAAAAGCACCCGAAACGTCGGGAATTAAAAATAAAAATAATTAAAATTATAATTAAACGCGATAAAATCCGTAAAAGTAGTTTTAATCAATGTGTAGTGTTCGCAAAATATAAGAAATCATTAAGAGACATTAATTTTGACTGCATTATTGAAAATCAAATAATAATTAATCTAAACAACGACAGCTAAATTAGTTGTACTGAAAGAATAAATTTTTCTAATCCGGTTTTAATCTTAAATTTTTATAACTGTGCCTCTAGAAATAAGCAGTAACAACAAATACGTAGAAACTGATAAATCTTGGGTTTTAAATTACCTGTTTTAAATTTATTTTGGTATTATTCAAACCAAACTTTAAATGATTACCAACTCTAAATAATCGATATCGATTTTTTTAAGAATCGAATATTGTACGTTTCCATTTTTTGGTTGGCATGCCTGGTGCAATAAGTCTGACAGCTGTCAAAATGTATTTCTTAGATTTGGTTGACTATAGTGTAAGAATTATTGGTTAGTGTAGTCTTAGTAATTGCAAGATCGACATTAGTGATTAGATTAGTAATTAATTAATCGACCTACTAAATTTAGTAGAAGAGTTTTAGATTAGTGTACTCTTAGTGACTGCAACATCGAAGTTAGAGATTAGATAAGTAATTAACTAACCGACTTATTAAGTTTAGTACTAGATTATTTCATTAGTGTAATTAATTTGTCGACCTATTAAATTTAATATAAGAGTTTTTGATTAGTGTAGTCTTAGTAACTGTACATTGAATTTAGAAATATAGTATTGTGGTAGTATTTAATTTAGACTTAATATTAAGTAAGTGTTTTTCATTAAGACTGCAAAAGCGAGGCTAGAAATTAGATTAGTTATTAATTTATTGACTTAGACACTAACAACCTTTTTTTACATATATACATATATGAAAGTATCTAATTGATTTTAATATTCGTAAAAATGTTATGTATTCGGCACGTACTTATTTTTTATTTTATTTTTTGTATTTTTAGAATGGAAAACTATTCATTTTAATGTATTATAACCACATTTTGCACCATCTTAGGTCACTGTTCCCTACATTTATTACTGTAAGTTTCATGTATCAAAAATCAGTTTTTAATAGAAACAACATTGTAAATATTATCACATTGAACCGACTTCAAAAATGGAGGAGATTTTTATTATTTGGTAGAGTATGTACCGATTACAGAAGCTGTTATGTGAAAATTATTTGATTTTTAATTTTTGAAGTCGGTTTTTGCTTTATAATGAATAATTTTTAAACTAATATTTCATCAAGTTATGCATTTTCTATTATATTAACAACTTATTGCATCTTTATGGTTCAATGGAAACTGTACCGGTAGAGATGTATCTCTAATTCATTCGCTCAGTTACTGGTGCCATTTTTTAAAGTAAGGACATCAGTTTTTCTATGGTTATGATGATGATGATTGGTGACAAATACCTTTATTTAGTATTCTAAGGACGTTAATTAATTCGTTGTACAAATGATATTAGTTTTTAATACACATATAGAAGCGAGTATAAATATTAATTAAGTTCTGTAAATACGTTTTTCATTTTACGTCATCATCATCATCTTCATGGACCCTAGAATTTCCACTGCTGGATATAATCCTCTACTGGATGTAATCCTCTGCTGGATATAATCCTCTGCTGTTGTAGTAAGGATTTTAGTCTGCAACGGACGACCACAGTAGCAACACGTCTTGCACCTTTGCCACTGCTGTCCGTTGCTAATCTGTGTATTTTACTTCTGGCGTTGACGAGATGGTTATACCGTCAGCCAGCGGAAACCATGAGCGATCCTGCATTTCTGTCGCCTCTTACGACATTTAAAGGCCGAAATTGGGTGATCTTTTCTCTTACATTACCACCACCTTCGATTAACAATACCAGCTAGATAACGGGTCACGTACAAAATCGTAGCTAAATACTGTCCGCATGAATATAAACTATGAAAAGACATAAATTAAAAATTTAGTTTGAAATCAACCTTAAGTAATAACAAATAAAGTTCTTTTTCCCGTTATTGCCTTGCGAGCTACACTCTCACGTGCAAGAGCTCACGTCTCATGTGCGCTCTTATTTACTGAGATGGATTTCTTGCGCCGATCCGACATCTAGTTGGTATTGTTGATCGAAGACCACCACATAATTTTTTGTATCTATTTCAAATTTAATTATTTGATTTTTTATTATAATTACAACTGCTTTATTGAAAGGTAAGATGCTTTTCACCACGCCATTCCTTTCAGCTATCATTTAAAATGTTATGGCATGTTCTGTATTTGAAGATTGTATAAAGTTGTAAACGGGCTATCGCTGCAGCGTGTGCGGCGGCGGCGACGCGGCCGCAGTCCCTGCCGGGCGCGGAGGCGTTGGGCGGTGCGCCCGGCGCCACGCTGCCGTCGCTCACTCCCGACCAGCAGCTGCGAGAGGACTTCACGGTCTTGGCCAAGGACCTCGTCGCCAGTCTGAAAGGGATCGTCTCTACACTGGTGCGTGTTATTCGTCATCATCAACATTACAACCCTTCACAGGTCCACTGCTGATCATTCACTTCTGATGTGAAGCCGCTTCAATGAATGTTATTATACTACACTAGAGAAGGTTTAATAATATGACGTATTTACATACTTACTAATGCGTACGTCTGTATACTGTAGTTACTAATGCTGTATTTTTATTTATTGACTGCCTCGTTGATCTGTCGGTCTAATTTTCGCATAAACTTAGATCATACTGGCATATGAACCGAAAACCGAACCGTTCACTTCTTCTTCCGTACCATAAATTTGCCTTGTTACTCTTTCCTCATTCATTCTTTCTACATTACCAAACCGTCCAAATCAATTGAAAATATTTTATATTTTAAACAGTATAAAACATAAAATTTTACCAAAAATAAACGCGTCATAACAGTGAGGACATATTGAGAATTTACCTGTGAAATGTGCAATTATCAGGATTCTTTCTATTATTGATACCGCAGTTACTCATGGAACAAGTAACCATTGTTGAAGATAATTACTTTTAGTAACAACCACTATTATATTCGAAAAAATCGAAAATACCTAGGAGCTCATTCTTTGCGTGCCGACTTGCCATTCAAAATCAATCACAGTCATGAGATTGGATATCCTATTCTATCTTGTTATATTGCCATAACGAATTTTTTCTTCCTTGCACACTGTGGCCGTCTATATACTCTAAGTCTATGAGTTTTTGTAATCTCTGTTTTTGATCATGAGGTTCTGGCTTTGAATCCCGGGTCGGGCAACTATTAGTTATTTGAGATTTTTTGTCAAGAAGTTGTTAGTAGTAGATGGCGTTGTTTTCACCCCTGTGCCTCGGAAAGCATGTAGAGCCGTTAGTCCTGCGGCTAATCTCTACGGTCTTGTCGGTTTACCGTCCCAACGGACTATGTGAATGAGTGAATAGAGAGTGCACATGTGCTTGCGCATATACTTGTGCACTATAATACTGTCCTGCTGCGATATCTAGTGTCCGTTGACGCTGGCCGCCGTGACCGAAATTTTTAAATTATATTTATACATTTTATACGTGGTAGAGTCATGGTGCAGTTACATTAGTAGTATAGTTGTGGCACGAATGGGTTGGCTCAACCGGGGAAAGACCACGCTCTCACAGAATACCGGCGTCAAATAGTAGCTTAATGCTGCGGTGTTTCGTATGGTGAGTGTAGAGAACCGGAGATCCTTTTTACTGGAAACGAGGCATTCGTCCTCACGGGTGACAACGCATCTGTATTTTGATTCATAACCGAAGATAGATGTAGATGTCTATAGGCCACAGCAACCGCTTACCATCAGGTGGACTGTGTGCTCGTTTGTCACCCTATCATATACACACACACATATATATATATATATATATATATGTATATGATAGGGTGACAAACTCATAAAATGTATATTGTGTATGGGGCAGGTGATGGAGCGCGGGCGGCTGGCGGGCGAGGCGGCGGGTGGCGCGCTGGCGACGCTGCGCTCCAACTTGGCCACAGCGTTGCATCAGAACTCCGGTCAGCCCGCACCCACGCTGCATAATACTAAAACTACGCTACAGCTGCATTTTACTTACACTGTTGAAACAACTATTCAACTAACAATCGTTATCATCATCATAATTATAGCCCTTCACAAATCCATTGCTAAACTATCTCTTACGTCCGCACGTTATCATACGAAAACAACACTGCAGCTGTATTTTGGTTATTCGATTGTGGATTCAATTCAACTATCATTTGAATTTCTTCCTCATCATCATCATCATTAAAGTCCTTCACATGTCCACAGCTGAACATGAGCATCATTTTAAAAACATCTCAAAAATACTGTCCTGAGCCACCTGCATCCAACAACTAGTAGACATAAACCTCTTCCAAGTTGTTCAAAATCAGGAAATCCTGGTACCGACAAAACCGGGCACTCTGGTACACATAACCATATTATGAGCTTTTAACGTCGTTTAGTAAATTAACTACTAGATTTTAGGACAACAAAAAGTCCCAACGTATCTTCAATAATTTTTGACAACAAAAGCAAGTTTTTACATTATAAATTAACGATGCAGCTATATTGTGGTCGTAGAACGAATGGGTCGGCTAAACCGTAGAGGAATCACGCTCTCACAGAATACCAGTGTAAAATAGCAGCTTAATATGCTGTGTTCCATATGGTGACCTTAGAGAATCGGAGACCCTTATTCCTGGAAAATGAGACCATCTTAGTCCTTAAGTGTGACAACGCATCTACATTTTGATTCGATTTGTCCCGGGATCCACTTACCATCACGTGGACTTTGTGCGTGCTCGTTTAATTTTTTTTATACAATAAAAGTATTACATTTAATTAAGCCTCACACCCGTAAACATTGGTTTCCTCTTAGATTTTTTATAAGATAATAATGACAAACGAGCACACAGTCCACCTGATGGTAAGTAGATGGTTTGACCCATAGACATCATCGACATCTACCCTCTATTACAACTAGACTCTTAATAAAGCTGCAGCATGGCTCTACAACTAAAACACAGTCCTGAGCCACGTGCATCCAACAAATGGTGAAGATAAGGCTCTCCCAAGTAAGATTCGGAATCAAGGAATGCCGGTATCGAAAGAACTGGGGACTCTGTTCAATTAAGCCAAATTATATGCTTTTAACATTAATATAGTGTAGTAAATTAACCTCCTCCAACCCACTGCAGGCCTCAAGCCTCTTCCTTAAGCATTTTAGGGCAAGAAAGAGTCCGTCACGCTGCACCATATGAGTTGGTGTACTTCAACATGTCTTCTAATTTTTTTACAACGCATGCAAGATTCCCTTAGTTCTCTTACCCAATCAATACAAGCATTGCTACTTGGCACAGAAAAAAATACACTTGAGTAAACAACAAAACCGGGAAAAATATTTATAAGCCATACAAACACTACATACCGTATAGTGGCGGTGTAAAAAATATCCTCTACCCCATATCATCGCGTAGGTGTCGTACGAGGCGACAGAGGGAAACTGAAACAGGAGATGGGTGGCAGCATCTTCCTGATAACAGCTGTATTTAAAAAACGATTGCCAAACGTGGCAACTATGGCACACGTAGAATACTATAATACACAATAGAATGGCTGTCAACCTTATTTTATATATAATACGACGTAATTGCTTGTATTTGTGCTCTCGGCGACGCCTATCCTCGTAGGATATCGGTTAATCACTACTACAAACCCGATTCGCTGTGTTGACAGACGGATTTTAATACATATTTATTTGTAAATAGCGTGCAATTTGGCATTTTCTAAATAATTTGCATGCGATATTTGGAAACGATTGTAACGTAAAAACACGTCTGGTGTTGATATTTATACGTGTGAATGGACGTGTTAGTGACATTTTAGTGGCTACAAGGGCTCCGCCCACTCCCCCGTTCTATTATGTATGTATTATAGTATTCCATGATGGCACATATCCCTATGAAGCAATCTATGGAGAAAATCTATGTTCAGTAGGGAGTAACTCGGTGCTCAGCGCTTAGCCACTGCGCTGCAAAGCTGTCAAACTTCTCCATCCTTATAACCTGTCGCCGGTGAGCATATTCACCGTCCTCATTATAATAATGACTGGTAAAGTTTACAACACAGAGCTCCGCTCCCGCCTGTCCCGGATACACGACGCCTCCGATCTGGCCGAGATCTCTTCCATGGGCCGCAACTCTGAACAGGTCAGTGAATTGATTGCGAATTTTATGTTGTGATTTCTTATATTTACGCGAACACTACCCATTGATTAAAACTACTTTTATGGATTTGTATATATGAATTATTTTAAAAAATCATTTAAAATAAAACGCGATAAAATCCGTATAAGTAGTTTTAATCAATAAATTTTATGTAGTACTATATAAAAAAATGCTTTATCTCTATATGTAAAATGAATTGCTGTATGTTACTATCGCTAAAACTCGAAAATGGCTCTAACGATTTTGACAAAATTTTTAGTTTGCGTTTGAGTGGTGGCGCTATTGTCGAGATCCAAAAATCAACCGTGCGAATCCGAAGTGAATCGGCTAGTGTATAGATATAAATAATATACATAGAATAAAGTGTGATGTTACCGAAACTTTATTAATGTATAATTTCAACAAATTTTCAAATTTTTCTAGAGAGCTACACCATGTCCTTGAATGTCCTTTTAAGGAGCCTTTACCGCCCACAACCTTCTGTTTTTAAAATGTACATTTATTTTCTGAAATTTCCTCATTGATCGCTTTGAAATTTTCGACAGAACGTTAAATTCGAATACGCGCGTGTTTTATATACGTATTTTGTGAAAATCTTGTATTACATCTAAGAAATAAATAATAATACATTACGACACAAGGGACTTAACTTTACACGTTTTAATAATCGGTTACTTAAGTTCCGTGTATCGTAAATTATTTTGTAATACACGGTGACTTAAAACCATGTTTAAGTCTGTAAAGTTAATTCGTAACGTACTATGATAAAATAATCTTTATCATTATAATGTAATTAACATGATCAACTATTCATTATATATAAGAGGCCTAGCCATTGCGCGATTACTTGAAACCGACATATAATGCGACCACTTACCCGCGTGTGACCATGTTGTACAGTTAGCAAAACCGTTTTGAACGACGTGGTTATGACGTCACTGTGGTCAGTTATAACCTATAACTCATGAGAAAAAGAAAGAAAAATGGGTATGTCTTGTATGAACAGCACCACCTTCTTTACTACCAGAATTGCTTGCACTATCCTACCACCACTAAACCGCTATTGTCCGATTTCTATATTCAAGTAAAGTTTCGTTCTCCGTAGCTATCCTTTACTAGGTACAAGTAAAAACAGCTAATATTTCAAACTATTCATTTAGCAACTTAGGATGATTTAAAAAGAAAATCTTTAAACGTATCATAAATAGTTAAATTGAAACTCAAACAGCAGTCAATTAATTTTGACAATGTAAATAATGCTCTATCGCAATTAGCACATTGATTTAACGCCAGCAATTTGCTCTTAAATGGCAATAAGACAAAATGTGTTAAATTTACAATACTTAATGTTAAACATTCGAATACCAATGTGTTTTTAATTTGGAGAGGTGCTTAGTCTTGTGGATACCACTGTTTTTCTTGATATTACTATTGACGCGAAGGTTCAATGGGGCCCACATATATGTATGTTAGCAGGCAGTCTTAGTGGGCGACTTATTACCTCGTTTACTGCAAAACGACTCGAAAAAGAAAAGGAAGTGTTATTAAATAAAGCAACCCTTAAGGCAAGTCTTAAGGTACTAAGCGGTTAACCGTCGCATAGTATATCTCCCATAACGATGCCTAGTATAGGTACAAAATACCTCTATTATCTACTGTAGTGTGTAATTTCTAGTCTGTGTTCCGAAATAGAACCCAGTATACTGGGCCAATGCAAATTACGTCATACATTTGCACCATATCACAAAAGTGTTAGCGATTATTTTATGTCATTTTAAGCTTCAAAAGTTATTATATCCTGTTTCAAATAATTTGTGAAGAATGGATATATCAGCAATTATTTTAGTAAGCCGTGTTGCTATTGAAATTTGTTCAGATTCTTCCGATTATGGTACTGATGACGATGATTTAGTGCTTGGCTGTTTTAAAATTGTTTTAATATTGCGTGTCCGACACAATATGGCGCCGGCATGCCATTACAACATGGCGTCAATTAATGACGTCATTTGCATGTGGCAGTGTACTGGGCTCTATTTCGGAAAACAGACCTAGTGTAGTGGGGTTGGGTATAGTGGTAGCAGTGGAAAATGCCCGCTACTATGGGAGAAAGATGTTTCTTCAAACTAGATCATACACAGTACTTTATTTTAGAAGCGAATCCAAAGTAATTAATTTTCACATCATACCACTGGTTCCCGTCAACAGAACCGTCAGTTCCAGCAGTCGCTGAGCTACAGTTCGTCGTGCGTGTCCGCCTCAGAGTTCTTCGACGCGGAGGAACATGATGACGAATTCAAGTCCGCCGAGATCATCGACGCTGACGAGGTGAATGACGGGATTTGACTTTGTTTGCTTCTAGATATCAGTAATAATCTAGTAGGTACTATGGGTGCGTGGTTGGACTCCTTTTCCACTTAAGTGTTCGTCTGGGTGCACACCTGTGTTGTGGTCTGAAGGGTGTAGAAAGCCAGTATAATTACTAGCTATGACGCATTCCATCTAAGTCGTCAGAGGTGACAACGCATCTATAGCCTTATTTATTTGTAGCTTTTTTTTTATTTATTTATTTTATGTACACACATTAAGATACAGAAGCAGTCTTATAGTAATTACGTACAAAGGTTTTACTTATTCCAAATTCGCTGAAATATCTTCCAATAGACCCATAAAGGAAATTATATCTAAATTGCAAACTTAGTGCATACATTAGTACTACTAAAAATAAATAATATACACAATGTTACGGAAATTATATAAAGTAAAACAATAAATAAACTTGCAACTTTTTGTTGCAAGTTGCTCGCTCGCGTGCTGCAGATTGAGATACCACCTCTTGAAACTAAGGTATATGCTGGCCGCCCTCCAGGCATAATGATTGCAAATTCGCATCGTAGTGCATTTGCTTGTATTTATAATAATTATTAACAATTTTTGTTTTACGTTTTTGTGTGGACAATAGTTGACTATTCGTCAGCGTCAAATTTTTGATAATATTCTGGCAGTTGATAGATATTTGGAACAACAACAAAGTCGGTCTTCTATCTAACGAATTGAAAATAACGGCACAGTTGGCTAAGCAGTTTAGTGATTTGTAGAAATAAATAAGTGTTAAATATTTAGGATTAATTTGCTAACCTTACTTTGTCATAGAACTTCACGTTTTAAATTAATTTGCCCTTACCCCATTTTTTACAGAATTAAAGTAACAAACGAGCACACAGACCGCCTGATGGTAAATGGATGCTGTTGCCCATAGACATCTATCCTCAATTAAGAATCAAAATACAGATGCGTTGTCACCCCTAAGAAGGTGGAATACCTCTTTACCAGTAAAAAAGAGGTCGCCAGTGCTCTACACTGACCATACGAAACAGCAGCATTAAACTGCTTTTTTACGCTGACATACTATGAGAGCGTGGTCCCTGACGTCCCGGTCGCGTTGACCCATTCGTGTTGCAACTATAATTTATATTATTAAAAAAATCATTCCACCCCATCGGAATACGCGCGTATAAAAACTTCATTCTTTATTAGATTATTATAGGCCATACCACGTTATAAGCTAAATCAAGTTGTAACCCTTCATTGATGTTAATGCAATGGATAATTTAATAGCGATAATTACTTACAGGCTGGCGTAATAGAACTAGACGGCGATTCGTCATCGGACGGAGGTTCCTTGAGCAGTGAAGAAGGATCAGCTAGTTCCGACAACTCGGATGCAGCAAGTTAGTAAAAAGCGTTCTGTGACCTCTTAAATATTTCACTATTCGATGTGCTTTGCACTATATACAGCGTTAAGTGAAAACGCTATGGCATTTCATTGGATATTTGACATAACGTTTCTATGTAGTTGCGGTGTAAGAGTACCCACTACCCCTTACATCCCGTGGGTGTTTTATAAGCTGACAGAGGGCACTGAAAAGAGATAGGTAGCAGCATTTTCCTGATAACAACTCCGGATGCCAACCGGCCTGCCAAGAATGGCAACTGTGGTAAATATCCATCCTATGAGCAATCTACGGGGGGGGACCTATCTTCAGCACTCGACTTTAGATAGAATACTGTTCTCATCTCTGGGCCGGGGCACCCCAGTGCCAGCTCCTTCCACTTGACCGCATCCAGCGCAGTGCGATTCGAATCGTCGATGACCGAGTTCTTTCTGATCGGCTCGATTCACTGGCGCTGCGTAGGGATGTTACATCCCTTTGCGTTTTCTATCGTATCTACCTTGGGGAATGTTCTGAGGAATTGTTCGGATTAGTTCCAGCCGCCAAATTTCACGAACGCACATCGCGTCAAAATTCCCGATCGCACATCGCGTCAAAATTCCCGATACCATCCTCACCACTTGGATGCTTGGTGGTCCACCACTGTGCGTTTTACTAAGTTTTATTCCTCGTACGACTTCTTTGTGGAATTGTTTACCACCGGCGTCGTTTCCGATTCGATACGACTTAGGGACCGTCAAGAAAAGAGCTTACTCCTTTCTAAAAGGCCGGCAACGCACCCGCAATTCTTCTGGTGTTGCGGTTGCTCATGGGCGGCGGTAGTCACATAACATCAGGTGAGCCGCATGCTCGTTTGCCCTCTCTTCATTTTTATGCTATAAAAATACATCTAATGAAAATACCAAGTAAATAGGAGAAAGTTAAGAAATTATTGGCATTTTTCGTAATTTGATTTTTTGGACTTTTTTAGGATATAGCTTGGGTTGGTCACGTACTAACGTGGTACAGGTGGGATTCTGTCTTTTTTTTTTAAATAAAACGTGTCAAATGTATTTAAATGATTTTTGTGTACGATAAAAAAACGCCGTACAATGGGAGTTTTAGTGGTAGTTTAACCGTGTAGTGGTGGTGTAAGAACTAAGAATGTCGTCTACCTCATCGTCGCGTCGGTGTGGTGAGAGGTGACAGAGGGAAACTGAAACAGCAGATGAGCAGCAGCATCTTCCCGATAATAAGTCTAAATAATAAAAAGGGGGACTTTAAAGGGGTCCCCCATAAAAGGCAATCTTTGGAATTTAATTCAGCATTGGATTTTTAAAGACTGTAATGGACTTATAGACGAAGTTAGTGCACCGTGTATAATGAGAAGTGTTGGTTTGTGTCAGTGGTGACGGCGGAGCAAGTGACGATGCGGCTAAGCACGAACGGTGCGTGCGAGGGGGCGGGCGGGACGGGTGCGGGGGTTGGAGGCGCCGTGGGAGGCGGGGCTAGTGTGGGGGGCGCGGTGCGCGGTTGGGCTCGGCGTACGCGGCTGCCCAGCCCGCGGCCCACGCCGGGCGGGCCCAGCCTCTGGAACCTGCTCTACAAGAACATCGGCAAGGACCTCAGCCAGATCTCCATGCCCGTCACCATCAACGAGCCGCTCAACATGCTCCAGGTCAGTTGCCGTTACTACTTACACTAGCTAAGATCAAACTTAGTCTACTAGTCATGAGCAACAATATTGTGCTGATATTTAACGATTATTTTATATATTGTATTTTTATTTTATGTTCTTAGGAAAACTTACAGTTACAATCAATTGTTTTACACGATTAAGTACAAATTAAGGTAAATACAAACTGGTCCCACGTACGCAACCTGTGTAACTCAATATGACGTTTGGACTCTTGTATTTATACGAAAAAGTATTCATTAGAAATATTGAACTGAAATATCCCTCTTCGGTTAAGAATTCCAAATTCAAATTTATTTCGGTTAAAGGGATCAATGAACTACTTATGAGATAGCAAAAGTGCATAGATAACAACGGTGCATACTTTGATTAGTTAAATATATTTTACAAAAAAAATTGACTTTATATTTATCCCGTACAAAACGCAGATTTCATAATATGTAAGGACTAGTAGATTTTATAATGGTGTTGGAAGTAGTGGTGACGGGAGTAGTGGTGTTGGGACTAGTGGTGACGGAGTTAGTGCATGCAATTGAGGGAGGGCGGGAGGTGCGCTTCAATCCAGGTAAGACACATCTTTGTATTTAGTTAGCGGAAGGTTGCGAAGTAATTAATATTTTTATTATAATGGATTTCCGCAAAGTAACGCCTGATTCTATCAATTACCTATTATAATATTAAATGTTTTATATATTAGAATGTTCTTTTACGTAATACCATTTAGGAAAAAAATTTTAAATTTTTCTTTTTCGTTGTGGCGTGGATATGTTCATTTATTGAACATCAAACGAAATAAATCTTTCTTAAACTTACTCTGAAAATCAAAAAAAAACATGGTATAAAGTTGTGCACGTGTTGGCGCTAAAAAGTGACAACAAGTGTCTGACGACAAATGTACTTTCTATTTGTAAGTCAAGTGTGTATACAAGCGTATGTCTGTTGCATTATATACTCTGTGTAAGTGGGACCAGTGTGTTTTTACTTTAAGACCTTTAATACTTTACCTGACAAAAGTTTATCTTATCACCTATCCATCGGGTGAACTGTGTGCTCGTTTGTCACCTTTATTCTATAAAAAAATAAAAAGAATGTTGTGGGTGTATGGTGTAGCGGTTGTGCGAGGAGCTGGAGTACTGCGAGTTGCTGGAGGCGGCCGCCGCATGCCAGGGTGCGGCCGAGCGCATGGCACTGGTGGCAGCCTTCGCCGTGAGCGCGTACGCGGCGTCCGCGCACCGAGCCGCCTCCAAGCCGTTCAACCCACTGCTGGGCGAGACCTACGAGTGCGTGCGCGAGGACCGCGGCTTCCACTTCGTGGCGTAGCAGGTCGGTACGGTGCCGGAGCAACAATGTACTCCACACCGAACGCATGGCACTGGTGGCAGCCTTCGTCATGAGTGCGTACGCGGCGTCCGCGCACCGCGCCGCCTCCAAGCCGTTCAACCCGCTGCTAGGCGAGACCTACGAGTGCGTGCGCGAGGACCGCGGCTTCCACTTCGTGGCGGAGCAGGTCGGTACGGTGCTGATGCAACAATGTACTCCACACCGAACGCATGGCACTGGTGGCAGCCTTCGCCGTGAGCGCGTACGCGGCGTCCGCGCACCGCGCCGCCTCCAAGCCGTTCAACCCGCTGCTAGGCGAGACTTACGAGTGCGTGCGTGAGGACCGCGGCTTCAACTTCGTGGCGGAGCAGGTCGGTACGGTGCTGATGCAACAATGTACTCCACACCGAACGCATGGCACTGGTGGCAGCCTTCGCCGTGAGCGCGTACGCGGCGTCCCCGCATCGCGCCGCCTCCAAGCCGTTCAACCCGCTGCTAGGCGAGACCTACGAGTGCGTGCGCGAGGACCGCGGCTTCCACTTCGTGGAGGAGCAGGTCGGTACGGTGCCGGTGCAACAATGTACTCCACACCGAACGCATGGCACTGGTGGCAGCATTCGCCGTGAGCGCGTACGCGGCGTCCGCGCACCGCGCCGCCTTCAAGCCGTTCAACCCGCTGCTAGGCGAGACCTACGAGTGCGTGCGCGAGGACCGCGGCTTCCACTTCGTGGCGGAGCAGGTCGGTACGGTGCTGATGCAACAATGTACTCCACACCGAACGCATGGCACTGGTGGCAGCCTTCGCCGTGAGCGCGTACGCGGCGTCCCCGCATCGCGCCGCCTCCAAGCCGTTCAACCCGCTGCTAGGCGAGACCTACGAGTGCGTGCGCGAGGACCGCGGCTTCCACTTCGTGGAGGAGCAGGTCGGTACGGTGCCGGTGCAACAATGTACTCCACACCGAACGCATGGCACTGGTGGCAGCATTCGCCGTGAGCGCGTACGCGGCGTCCGCGCACCGCGCCGCCTCCAAGCCGTTCAACCCGCTGCTAGGCGAGACTTACGAGTGCGTGCGTGAGGACCGCGGCTTCAACTTCGTGGCGGAGCAGGTTGGAGCCACTACGTGCATCAGTAGAGACTGGCCATCGCGGGGTAAGGTTACAGTGCACGATTCCTGTGGATAGACAGAGCAAGTTGGTCTAACAATATACTTCACACTAAATCCCAATCTAGACGGAAACCAGTCTGCGCATCAGAATTAGTTAAGTTGACATGCACTCATTTACTATACTTATAATTATTACCAAACTATAAAAATAGACGAGAATAACATATCTTATAACAATAATCAATGACATTCATGCGACTTATCTTTCTTATGATTGATATTTATAGTTTTCTAGTAGCGTTAACGTTGTCAAATAGTTCCGCAAGGCAAAATTATAGTGTACGACTACTGCGAACCAGTCTCTGCTTTCGCCTCATCATCTAGCTACACTACACTTAATTAAAATTACGAGTGAGGAAATTAGTTAATTCTACACTATTAACTAGTCTTACAAAGGGAGAAATAATGGTGCAACCGAAGGTGATAGAGCTGCCTGCCTTCAAGACAACCCAACATTACTAAATAGTGTAGATCATGGACAGATACTGGCAATGACTTTTATAATTGTACAACTTATACTGGGTGACTTTTTTACCGTCTGAAAAATAATATGGTGTTTAGTGTAAGTAGAATAAGAAGCTAACCTCGAAAGTATTTGTAAAATATAACAGAATATAACTGATGGGCAAAATTTCCAAATATACAAAAAAACAATACACCCTACAGTATTTGGGTAAAACTAAAAATAGGAGATATTATTTTAAACGGTGCGGCGTAGGCTACAATCGCTGGGGAATGAAAGTTGTAAGCGCGAGCGAGACGCATGCATATATCTTTAGTTAGGCGAATGCCTACCGACGCCTACAATGATGCCATTGCTAGATACTCGACATTAGAGTATTTGTACATGTTAGCGATAGCTATCAGCGGGTGGCCGATAAATACACGAATACAGAAACGATACCTTGCCTTGTCCTTAGGCCTGCGACCCTGCGGACAAAGAAGCCTAAGGTAGTTGCAGCAAGTGCATTATAAGTTCATTGTTTTATTGCCGCTCGAGAGCCGTGGTAGCTCAGATGGTTAGCGCTCGCTGTAAATTTTTCACAAATTCACAGTACGCGAGCAAACCGGTTTCGACCCCCGCTGACATCAATGAAATCGTTAGTTGCAATTTTAAATGCTAGTGCTGATTTACCACGTACTCGGCGGTGAAGGAAAACATCGTGAGGAAACCTGCATGTCTGGGAAATAAGAAAAAAAAATATTTCGAAGACATGTGAGCTTTGCCGACACGCACTGGAGCAATGCGATGGACAATTCCTTGTCCTAAAACCTTAAAAAATGAGCGGAGGCCTGTGCCCAGGAGTGGGACGTATTTAGACTGTAACTTTAACTTTATTACCGCTTGTAAAGAAGGGTGCTTATGATTTGAATTTCGTTAGTTTTTTATTAATTTATTTATTAAGTTTCAAATTTTTGTTTTTAGTACGGAATCACAAATAAAAAGCTAACTTTTTATTTGTGATTTGCTGATTTGATATGACAGAAGATGTAATTACACTATTTCGCTGTTGTCCGGTCGTTGAGCAAGAAGAATGTCGTACCCTGTTATTATTTGTTTACGTCGCTTGCGCATAAATATATTGTCTTTGTGCTCGCACATATACGGTGTCCTCCACAATTAGATATTGCAAACCTTTTTGTATTGCATAATATTGCTTGTTCTTGAAAATATGTTCTTTAGTTTGTCTTGATATTGTTTATCATATTTAAATTAGAATTTCATATTAGAATGTGCTCCTCGCTGAATACCCGCTAGAATAGTTCCCGGACTAAGGTAAATAGAAGCGATACTCGTCAATATGTCAGTTTTATAAGCAAAGTTAAATTATTTTAAGTTATTTTTCTATAAAATTAGAAAGAATAAGTTAATATAAGCGAGCAATATTGACATGGTTATTCTTGTTTTCTCTCTGCTATTTTCCATTATTTCACAGATGTGATTTTTATTCTAAAATGTTTTTGACCACTGGCAGTAGACACAAACGTCACTGTACGAAATTATTCGATTATTCGTGCCTTTTTTTTTTTTTTTTTTTTTGCGGATGGAAAATCATCTAATGACCCCTTTCGCTCTGGGTGGAGCGTAAGGGAGTGTCAGACTTTTTACTGACTAAAAACCATCCGTGTTCCTTCAGTGCCCTTACGTTCTAGAGCCGCGGTATCTCTTTCGAACAGCCCGCAGCCCCGGCAGGCGTCGGCCCTTGCGGGCCCCTTCACCCTGCTGACAGCTCTTTGAGGCGCGCATGGAACAAAACGCGCCGTCGACACGGCCTGTCGTCATTAGACGGACGGACGACGAGCTACCCATTGCTCGCCGTCCACAGGCCCGCGCCTACGGTGGCCGGGGGCCACGACGTAGCCCCCGACGCCCGGGGCGTCTCCCGCGGCGGCCGGGGAGGAAAGCTGCTGCTCTCTCCTTCTCCCGCTCCGCCACCTCCTTCGCTAGCATCACTGCTTCGCAGAAGGTGGTGACGGCATCCCATTCCGTCTCGCTCCGGACCATGGCTTCGACCAGGGCCGGACGCGAGAGGTCGCCGACGCCTATCGCCGCTACGAGGACACGGCGGTGCTCCGCCCAAGCAGGGCACACCTCCACGGTGTGTTCCACCGTGTGCTCCGGTCCATCCTCGCAGTGGGAGCACCCGGGCGTTTCCTCCCGCCCGATTCGGTGCAGGAACCTCCCAAACACACCGTGTCCGGTGAGGACCTGCGTCAGGCGGAAGGTGAGGATGCCGTGGCGTCTCTCAAGCCACTCCTCAAAGAGGGATCTTATCGCCGCTATAGTGGCGTGCCCAGCACGGGGTTGCGACAGTCGCTGTCTCCATGTCGCCATGAGATCGTGCCGGAAGTCTGTCCACTGCGCGACAACTTGCCGCGGCAGCGGGGTTTCCCCACGGCACTGTGCCTCCGCACGCCATTCGTGCAGGCGCGCGAGGACTATCGCCTCCAGATCCCATGGCGGCAATCCGGCAAGGAGGCTCGCCGCCTCGCGGGAGATCGTGCGGTAGCCGCGAACCATTTTCACGGCTATCACCCTTTGGGGCGCGTTCAGGTGGTGGACGGCAAGCCGCGCCAAACCACGCGCCCACATCGGGGCCCCGTAAAGGGCCATGGACCGCACGATCCCCGCGTAGAGCCTCCGGCAGGAGGCGTTTGGCCCTCCCAGGTTCGGCAGGAGCCGCCTGAAGGCAGCCCCGGTCCGTTCCAGTTTGGGAGCCAAACGTCGGAAGTGCTCAACGAAGTTCCATCGGCCGTCGAGGACGAGTCCTAGGTACTTCAGCGTCGACTCGACGCCGATGGATACCCCTCCTACCATCACTGAGGATCCCGGTGGTGGCCTATTCCGAGGACCATGGAAGTGCATGGCCTCGGACTTGTGCAGAGCCACCTCGAGACCCAGTTGCCGAATCCTCTCAACGACTATCGCAACCCCGCGTGTCATATTTTCCGTCGCCGCCTCGTACGACCCCCCTCGTGCCAGTACCAGCGTGTCGTCAGCGTAGCAAACTACGCTGACGCCGGTAGGGAGGTCGGCGCGCAGCACCCAGTCGTAACCGATGTTCCACAGAGGTGGCCCCAGAACCGAACCCTGTGGGACACCGCACGACATCTCTCGCCGGTTCCACTCACCGTTGCGACCGGGGTAGATGACGGCCCTGTCCGTCAGGTAGTCCCCGACTATACGACGGAGATAGGTCGGCACCCGGTGATACCGGAGTGCCTCCCTAATGCAGCTCCAGGGCATGGAGTTGAAGGCGTTGGCGATGTCGAGAGACACCGCCAAGACAACCCCCCGCCAAGACATTTTGATAGTTTTATATTTTTTTTTATAGGATAGGGTGACAAACGAGCACACAATCCACCTGATGGTAAGTGGTTGCTGTGGCCCATAGACATCTACATCTATCCTCAATTACGAATCAAAATGCAGATGCGTTGTCACCTGTGAGGACTAAGATGGAATGCCTCGTTTCCAGTAAAAAGGGTCTCCGGTTCTCTACACTCACCATACGAAACACAGCAGCATTAAGCTACTATTTCACGCTGGTATTCTATGAGAGCGTGGTCCTTCCCCGGTCGAGCCGACCCATTCGTGCTACAACTATACATCTAATATAACTGCAGCATGGCTCTACCACGTATAAATAAAAAATAAAAATAAATATTTAGATTATAATGTGTGTGTATGGTGGTTGTGGCAGGTGTCGCACCACCCGCCGGTGTCTGCGTGCCACGCGCAGGCAGCGCGTTGGGTGCTGTGGCAGGAGGCGCGCATCCGCACCAAGTTCTGGGGCAAGTCCATGGAGTTCCAGCCCGCTGGCCACGTACACCTGCGGCTGCTGCCGCACGGTGACCTCTACACTTGGAACAAGGTCTGTACCTACTGCTCCTACACTGCATTACACAATTGCACGTTCTACTGGTCAAGCTTCTTCGGAACACCAACAGCATTGATACATTTAGCTTCTTAAAAATGTTCAATCTACATAGCTGCTAAACCTCTCTTCGCAATTTCAGGGGTACAAAACTTTTCGCAAAACATTTTTATTTTTACTTTTTAGTTACTTATTATTCTAGTTTTATTATGCGGGCAGGATGTTTCTGTGGCAACAAAAGTTTCAAAAATTGGACATCTGAAAGAAAGAATGAAGAATTACATATTTTTAAATTACATATTAATAATTACAAATTTTGGTGGGCACTGGCATCCCCTTATATGAAGCATCATCATCATCATCATTACAGCCCTTCACAAGTCCACTGCTGAACATAGGCCTCCCCCAAGGTATGCCACAAAGGGCTATCCTGAGCCACCTGCATCTATCGACTTCTTGCATGTCTTACCAGGTTGTCACACCATCTAGTGGGGGGCGCCCTACACTTCGCCTACCGGTGCGAGGCTGCCACTCGAGAACCTTCACTTCAGCTTACTAATCCGTTGGGCTATGTTGGTCACTCTGGTTCTACTGCGAGTATCCTCATTTCTAAGTTTATCAGCAGAGAAACCCCAAACATAGTCCTCTCCATAGCTCGCTGAGCGATTTTGAGCATCCTCATATGACCAGCAGTGAAGGACCACGTCTCAGTTCCATAGGTCATCAATATATGAAGCATAAGTAACCATAATTATACAATAAGAAGGAAAAATAAATCATTAGAAAATACAGATATAAAAAACGAATTACCAACTCAAAAACATGTTTGGTATGAAATTGTCCAAATAGGACTGTCACTCATTTCTTCAACTAACTGCACACTTATATCACATTTCTTATCATTCAATTCATTAAAAACTAAGGGACATCATATTCAACTCTATAAATAATCTACGAAATTATTAACACTTTACTTCTTCATTATTATTTACAAATAACGGCATATACAAAAAGAAACCTCTCAGAAATGAAAAAAAAACCTGTACCCAGCAGTGGGACGTATACAGATTGTCCCAGGAAACCTGTACCAGCGAAGGTCTATGGTCTGGGGACATCAGTACCTATTGATTGGACCCCCTATGTATGTTCCGCGTTTTTTGTTGTTTTCAAACGATGAATTTTTTGTTTTATTTTCAGTTTTTTTTATTATGGACGGTTTTTGTTATTACTTTTTCTGTGAAGTAATTCTTAGTGATGTTTTTTGTTAGTATTATGGCTAGCGTATGTGTTCGTCTGTAAAAATACTGAACACCAGAATTCTAATTAGTTGCTTAGACTTAAAAATTTAAAATTTCTGTTTGAGAGAAAATTTTATTTGATTTCAACTTGAAAAAAAAATTGCTTAACCGTTGCTTTTAAAAAATGATTGTGTGAAGGTCATGGCAGATTCGGATGTCACTTTATTAACACGCCAGAACATGAAATCTCAGTGCGATTGTGCCCCTTGCCACTATGCAGGACAGGTTAGAGGTCATTAGAGTCAGCACCTCCCAGAGAGATGGATACGCCGTAATGCACCAATCGTCTGGCCTCCAAGATCCCCAGACCTGTATCCCATAGATTTTTTTTATCTGGGGCTACTATAAGGTATTAGTGTACCATCGCAAATTCTCGAGTTTGGAGGAGTTAAAAACTAAATTAAATGAAGCTCAAGAAATAATAAGACAACACCCAAACCTTCCGAGATTTGCCTAGCTATGATACTAACAAAAATAATTTCTAAAAATTACTTCACAGAAAACCGACCAAAATTAAAAAAAAAAAGTTCATATCTCGAAAACTACAAAAATCATGGAACATAAATGGGGGTCCAATCGATAGGTATTGGTGTCCCCAGGCTGTTACATGTGTCCTGGGACATGCTTTACATATAATATATACGTCCGACCGCTGGCCATAGACGTATAATTTCAGAGATCGTTTTAGAGCAGAAAATGGTCCACCGCGCTGCCCCAAGCCTGTTGACAGATTTCACATTTCCGAGTGTTTTTTTTTTTATTTTTCAGACATACAGGATTCCAAACAATATTTTTTCCTTGCCCCGTGAGCTAACATAGATACTGTTTGAATGTTTATTATATTTATACTCTAGGATTACAACTGAGCGTTACTTACAGGTTACGACGTGCGTGCACAATCTGTTCGGCGGACAGCGTTGGGTGGATCAGTACGGAGACATGCACATCACCTGCCACGGCAAGGACATCAGCTGTAAACTAAACTTCATCAAGGTGATGAAATAGTTTTTACTTTGGTTTTAGTTATCTCTTTACTTATTGAATAAGAAACAATAAATGTGAATTGTAAATAACAACTTTTGAAAATAAGCTTTTAATTAAAATTAAAAGCGGACTTCAAAAAACTAAGAGGGACATAGAAGTTTTCATATAATAGCTTCTGAAGTTGTTGGTAACATTTAGTGTATATATCCCTCCATCCATCTCTTACAGCCTATAAAAGTCCACTGGTGAACATAGGCCTTCCTCATTGATTGCCTCGTGGCGGAATTTTGCTCTATGGTTCTTAAAAAATAGCTTGATCTCTGCGACAACTGTCAGTAAAATCACGCCTATGAAGTCCTGAATTTCTTAGTAGTCCAGACAGTACCTGTCAATGTCTATGTGTATGTGGGCATGCTGACCTATACAACGCGGTCACATTAACTTGACGCATCACTAGAAAGCGAGGCCCCGCCCGCCAGCCCCCGCACTCACTTAGCTCGCCCGGCAATCGTCAGTATAGTTAGCATCTCTGTTAAGGTACCCACTGACGATACGTCCATTTAGTAGACTTCCAAATAGATGCACTCTAAATGTATCCAAATACAGTACCATTGACGATACTTCCATTTGGAAGCATAGCGTCACTTCGAGCTTGGCAGTCGTACGGAATGGAAATACCGGCGGCAGTAAAGTAAAGTAAAGTTACGGCCTATATACGTCCCACTGCTGGGCTCAGGCCTCCCCTCATTTCTGAGAGGGTTTAGGGCAAGGAAGTGTCCGCCGCGCTGCCCAAATGCGTGTTGACGAACTTCACATGTCTTCGAAATATTTTTTTTCTTATTCAGACATGCAGGTTTCCTCACGATGTTTTCCTTCACCGCCGAGCACGTGGTAAATCAGCACTTAAAATTGCAATTAACAATTTCATTGGTGCCGGCGGGGATCGAACCCTGGTTACTCGCGTTCTGTTATATTTACAGCGAGCGTTAACCACTGAGCTACCACGGCTCTGAGCTACCGGCGCGGCACGGAGCTACTGGCGGCAGAAGCAGCGTGTATTTCATTAAAAAGACAAAAAACCTAAACGGGACAATCCATCGTAGCTTTCAAAGATGACAACGCATCGATATTTTGATTCTCAATTGAGGATACATGTAAATGTCTATGGGCCACAGCACCCACCACCAGGTGGACGGTGCTAGTTTGTCACTCCAGTTCCAGATATAGTATATATTATGGTGGAGCAATATCATTGACTGAGGTTGAAATTAAAGAAATCAACATATAGAGGATATTTTTCATTATAACTATACGTGGTAGAGCAACGTTGCATCTATATTATGGATGTAGCACAAAAGGGTAGGCTCGAACGAAGAAGGACCACGCTCTCACAAAATAGCAGCTTAAATCTGCTGCGTTTCGTATGTTGAGTGTAAAGAACCGGATAATATTTTTACTGGAAACGAGGCACTCCACATAGTTCTACAGGGGTGACAATGCATTTACATTTTGATTCTTATTCGATGACAGATTCAGTCTATGGGCTACAGTATCAACTTAACATCATGTGGATTGTGTACTCGTTTGCTGGGTGACAAAGCAACGCAGTTCATAGTTTACATAATAAAAACATATTTAATCCAATACACAGTTTATGCTTGACAAACAGAGCACATGTATTACCATCAACACCAAAACATTAACTGACGCTATAACGTCCAAAAAATGGACGTTGTTTCGCCCATTCACTGACGATTTGGACTGCTTCCATTTGGCGTGGCGCACGTTTTTCACATCGACGGACGGCCGCGGACGACGTCCATTTGGACTGGACGCATGGATTTCAATCCATTTGGAAATCCAGAGCTGGATGAAATCCATCCAAATGGAATATGTTTTTACCATTCACGGAACGATTTTGGACGATTACCACTCCATGGATTGGATTACCACTCCATGGACGTATCGTCAGTGGGTACCATTACACTGTTGTAAATGACGTCATCAGAGCCATGCGTCAAGTTAATGTGACCGCGTTGTATAGGTCAGCATGCCCACATACACATAGACATCGACAGGTACTGTCTGTACTACTAAGAAATTCAGAACTTCATAGGCGTGATTTTACTGACAGCTGTCGCAGAGCGGTTACTTAATTTTTACTTACTTTCTTTCAGAATTCAAAGCAATACACTAAAACTTATTTGTGCTATAGAAATACCTGCCCGTTATATCCACGATAATGTTATACCATATATAATGAGGCAAGCTGAGATTTTATAGATTAATAAGATTGAAATCCTCCAAGTTGCGGGCGGACCAAGTCGCAAGATCATAAGGCACTTTAAGTCTCGTATGTGCGGGGTGGTTTCGCCCGACATACCTCCACCTCCCCTATCCCTCGGGACACTCGTGAGGCGAACTTGGGGTAGGTGTTTAGCTGGTTTATGGAAATTGAGAACAGGACAAAGGAGTCGGGAGCTACCTACGATGTGACTAGATTGCGGATGATCCGTATACACACTTCTATTTTTAATAGCTTTTATAACTTTCAATGGTCACAGAATATTGGAAATATAACCAACCATATACATAAAGTCTTCCTGAATATACGCCATAAAAGTATTATGTTTGTTGCTAATGTATTGCCATCATCATCATCCTTAGCGTTGTTAAGACTGGCACAAAGAATTGAGGTAAAAAAAATATTTATTGCATTGCCGATGCATTACCATAATAAAAGACATAACAAGTAATGCCACTCAATTCCTAAATAAGTTGCATCAAGTACGGTACAACAGCTTAGCGAGCGGGTAAGTATAGGGAAATTAAATCCCTAGCTAATCGGAAGCTATTATGTGGAAATTATTTTATTTTGTTTAGTAAGGGGGCGCCCATTAATTAAGTGAGGCGATTTTGGCGATTTTTCTACCCTTTTAGTGTGAATACGGTAATCTGTACTTGATTGCGTTGGGGTTATCTATAAAAAAAAATATGTACATGTGTATGATAAATGTTCGCATAACCGCGATACATTATTGTGTAGAATTAGCCATATTTTACTTAATTAAACTCATATTTCTCGAAATTTTACACTGTGACTTCCGGAAAAAAATGAGATATGTGATGAGATACTTTCTCTCCCACACTTGAGATTGGGTTAGATACGGTTCGGCCTATGTTCAGCGATGGACTTGTGAAGGACTGTAATGATGATGATGATGATGACGGTTCGTCCCCCCCCCCCCCATCCTCTAAACACCTTACCCTCTAATCTAATCTGCTCATACTTTTTTTATTAAAAGTTTAATTTATTGACCCTTAAGTGGAATAAGAAATAACACAAGCTCCAGCTAGAATGTTTCCAAATTAGTCACAGTAAAAACTTTCCCTATTCCCTATTCACCCACCCTTAGGAGGGGAATTTTCACTCCATTTGAAGACCACAACTGAAGTGAAACATATTTAATAAAAAGTATCATTAAAAGTCTGCAAAAAGGCAAGTTCACTTTGCCTTTTCTTAATCTATTTTTTGTTTTCTAATGATAACTTATTTGTTCATGGTTCCAAATTTTATCATCATCATAATCATCATCAACCCGTAAATGTTCGCTGCTGGCCACGGCCCTCTCTCGTTTTAAGGAGATTTTATTAAAACTCAGGAAAATGTTTACATTCGATGTTAAAAAGTTAGTTGATATAAAAATCCCTTGTTTAATTCGTTCTAATCTATTACAATGCACAGAATACCCTGATGATAAATTATGCTAATATATTCAAAAAAAAAATATGCTTTTGACTAAAGCATTGTATAGTGGTAGAAGCGTTTTATTTAGTATTATCGGGTCTTTATAAATATTTTGATCTGCTTAAACACAAATGCAGATAATCTTTTTTTTTTATGCCGTCATCATGAACTGTAAAGGTTAAAGTACTGTCAATTATTACTCTTCAGTCACTAACCCCCTAACGAATTCCTTTTTCTAATGAATTTCATTAAAAAAAAACATTCAATATTTAGCGTTCTTTATTTTGACAACCCTATATTTGCTCATTATTATTTTATTATTTAAATATTAGACAACTTTATCGGTCTTTATGCATTTATACAATTTCAAATCATTTGCGTACATTTTAAAGAGACACATTAATTTTCTGACCGAATCATTATGAATATTTATAAAAGTTATGAAGAACAAAGAACCTAAATTTGAGCCTTGCGGTACACCAGTTGGTGTGAATTTACTTCTTGAAGTATAACCACGAATCACAACTAACTGAGACTTATTTTGTAAATATATTCACACCACTGCAACAATGAACCATGAATTCCCGGCGCTGATATTCTTTTTAGTATGAGAAAGTGATCTATAAAGTCAAACGTTTTATTGAAATCTGTGTACATAGCAGGACATTTCTCTACGTCATCCAAAGATTTTTGGACAAGAATCCGTGTTGTTATGGGTGGATGCTCTCTTTAATGTGCCAGTTCTTCGAGCAATATGGCCGGCCCATTGCCACTTCAGCTTACTAATCCGTTGGGCTATGTCGGTCACTCTGGTTTTACTGCGGATATCCTCATTTCTGAGTCTATCACGCAGAGAAACTCCGAGCATAGCCCTCTTCATAGCTCGCTGAGCGACCTTGAGCGCCCTCATACGGCCAGCAGTGAAGGACCACGTCTCTGATCCGTAAGTCATCACTGGCAACACGCACTGGTTGTAGACTTTAGTTTTCAGAGATTGAGGTATACCTGACGAGAAGATGTGTCGTAATTTCCCGAACGCTGCCCAGCCGAGTTGAATCCGTCGATTGACCTCTCGGTCGAAGTTGGACTTACCTAGTCGGACTATTTGTCCCAGGTAAACGTACTCGTCAACAACTTCGAGCATAGTGCTCCCCACAACTACCGGCATAGGTGTGACATGGACATTGAACATAATCTTTGTTTTGTCCATGTTCATCTTAAGACCTATCCGTTGGGAGACACCATTGAGGTCATTGAGCATAGTGCTAAGGTCCTCCAGCGATTCTGCCATAAGGACTATATCGTCGTCAAATCGAAGGTGAGTGATGTACTCGCCATTGATGTTAATACCGTATCCTTTCCAGTCCAGTAGCTTGAAAACGTCTTCCAACGCAGCGGTGAAGAGTTTCGGGGATATAACATCACCCTGTCTTACACCTTTCTGCAGTTGGATACGTTTCGAACTCTGGTTCTGTACTCGGATAGCCATCGTAGCCCTACTGTATAAACACTTCAGCACTTCGATATACCGACAGTCAACTTGGCACCGCTGAAGGGGCTGTAGCACCGCCCAAATTTCGACGGAATCAAAGGCTTTCTCATAGTCCACATACGCCAGGCAAAGTGGCAGATTGTACTCCTCGGTCTTCTGTACAGTCTGTCGCAGGGTATGTATGTGATCTATGGTACTGAAGCCTTTTCGGAAACCGGCTTGTTTGGGAGGCTGGAAGTCGTCGAGTCTGCGTCGAAATTTTAAAGCATTGCATATTTCAAATTCTGTTCATACACAATTACAATTACTTAACTCTGATGTGCATTCGCTTTTTGAAATCCTACAATATTCTGTTTTGCAGTCTTCAGATGAATTGTATACGGACAGAAAGTAATTAGAGAATAAATATTGCAATTTCTTCACCACCAGTAGCGACTCTTTGACTTAAGGTCGTTTGATTGAATAGTAAGTAAACTTTTCTGGTGATCAATAAATAATCCATTTTATTTTGTTGATTTTAATAGTCTTTGCAAATTTTGTAACAATCCTTAAATATATTATAATATCGGTTTCTTAGCAAATTTAGTGTTTCTTTTTCTCTAGGGTCAATATTATTACTTAGATAAACCTTTCTTATATATACCATAACTACCATACTACAACTACCAGTTTTTTCATAGCGTGTTTATGACTGTCCAACAGAGATATTGAGGACAAGTTCTTTCGAACAAATATCTTGCCATTTCGAACCCAATTAAACTGCTATTGTTTTTTTTAACTGTGAGTCTAACCTCTGAGATAACTTTTCAGTGACTTAGATATCCTGCTTCTTCCCGTAATCCCATACGGCCAGCATGTAATCGTGTTACCGGTTAAAAGCCATACGTAACTTTATTGACACATACTGTCTTGCCACAATAGACTGAAGAGTCTCATTTACTCTGTGTCCTACATTCGTTGCTTGTTCTATACCTCTTTCATGTTTATCATCCCCGCTATTATCATGATCATCACAGCCATTCACAAGTTCACTGCTGAACATAGACTTTCCCCATGAGTCACTTGCATCCATGGATTTCCTGCATCACTTACGATGTCTATCTAGTTGGAATCATCCCTATACTTCTCCTAACATTAAGAGGCTGTCACTTAAGTACCTTTCTTCCCCATTGGTTGTCGCTTCTTCTAACAATATGGCCGGCCAATATGTGCCGATTTAGCCAAATGCCAATTTAGCTTACTATTCGATTGGGCTATATTGGTCACTCTGGTTTTACAGCGGATATTTTCATTTAGAAGTCTATCATGTAATGAAACTCCGAGCATAGCTTTCTCCATAATTCGCTGAGCGACCTTGAGCGATTCCTGTTGTACACAAACTCATTCGTTCAACCAACTCCCCATTTATTAATATAGCATGTCGTTTTATATACTTCTCTTTCAACAAGCATTACTTGCACAGGCGAGTTCGTGGTCGAGCGGCAAGCACGAAGTACGTGGTGCTGTGACGTGGGCGGGCGGGCGGCTGCGGCTGTCGGGCCGCTGGTCCGAGGCGCTCTATGCCGGGGAGCCGCCCGCCGCGCGCTGTCTGTGGAGACCTGGTAGCTCGCGCTTCGATGCACCGCACACTCACACTGACACACTGACTCACTGGCTCACCGCATACTGACACACTGCGGCTGTCGGGCCGCTGGTCCGAGGCGCTCTATGCCGGGGAGTCGCCCGCCGCGTGATGTCTGTGGAGACCCGGTAGCTCGCGCTTCGATGCACCGCACACTCACACTGACACACTGACTCACTGGCTCACCGCACACTGACACACTGCGGCTGTCGGGCCGCTGGTCCAAGGCGCTCTATGCCGGGGAGCCGCCCGCCGCGCGATTTCTGTGGAGACCCGGTAGCTCGCGCTTCGATGCACCGCACACTCGCACTGACTCACTGGCTCACCGCACACTGACACACTGCGGCTGTCGGGCCGCTGGTCCGAGACGCTCTATGCCGGGGATTCGCCCGCCGCGCGCTGTCTGTAGAGACCCGGTAGCTCGCGCCTCGATACACCGCACATTCACACTGACTCACCGCACACTGACACCAAAATACCGCCACGCAGATACCACAACACGTGACATACATAGACAAAATTTGGCACGTAGCTTGTCCATCCCGCGCCGCCATATTGATGAGCAACATCTTCAACATAACCTGCCTGCAACAGGGCCGAACTAGGGTCGATTGCTGATATTATTCAACGATATTGAAACAACCGACATACTTACTGAAAATCCGCAAATGTGAAAGCAAACGTGATGCAACAATTAAGAAAAAATGTCAAACTTCCTCTTAAAATACTCCTTTGGTCGCCATTTACAATAACCACGGGAATAAATGGGTTGTTCTATTCATTAAGACATTATTGATAAGTAATCTACACTTCTTATACCCAGAGAATGTCGTATTTTCGAATTTTCAGTAAGTATATCAGTTGTTTCAATATCATTAAATAATACCAGCAAACAGCCCTGCCCAGCCCTAGTTCGGCCCTGTAATGACAACAATTTTTAGAGAATGTTTGGTCTTCTACTCTATACACAGACATAATACTGTGACTTATTCAATGCTTTCAAGACACACACTACTTCGAATGAAATGTGATCCATGGCGTCAGCGACGTTACCACATTTCAGTTTGACGGTACTTATACATACCTACCGAACAAATTTTATTAAGTACAAATTTAAAATACAACATTAATAATATTCCCTTAAATTACTCCTGGTAAACTGAAAATATTTGTGCTAGGAGTGCTTCACAACAGTTGTCGAATGGTGGATTGGAACCCACGACCTTTTGAGTTCGCGGTCCGAACCCAGTCATTAGGCTACTGTCGCTTAAATTTTTAATTATTGGTTGTTAAAATGGTAACATTTATTCAAAATTTGAATAAAATAGTAATACTCGTTATGAGGAATGAAATAAAATTATTACTATCTATTTATAAAACGCTGTGCCGCCATTTTGTAATGAATGAATGATCATGCGCGCATCGTACGGTGGTTAGAACATATTTTGTTTTGATATAAATGTATCATTAACAGGTGCCATGCCACCGGACCACGAGCTATACTACGGGTTCACCCGCTTCGCCATGGAGCTTAACGAGCTGGAGCCCGGCATGAAGGACGTGCTGCCTCACACGGACACAAGGCTTAGGTAAGACACCGTTTAAAAACACTTATTAATGTCGAATGTATACTATAAAAATAAAAAGTTTAAACGGATCGACAAAAACTAAAATGAAATCATCATACATTAATGCCAAGTCGAACAAAATATCGTATTTCAGACACAATTTTGCGCGCGTGAGAATTTATACTTCTTGAAATAGTATATGCACCGGAAAAATATGTCTATACATGAAATATTCAATTTAGTTCTGAATCGGATGGATCCTTAATATACTTTATATTCATCAAAAAAATCGATACTTGCCAGGAAAAATTGTAACGTTGGAGTTCTCGATTTTTTTATCGTTAACCTTTTTATATTTTTCGATAATAAACTCTTGCAAAAAGAACGTACACCTAAGCAAAAAAGCAACTTTATTATTGCTAATAGTTTATTTTATAATTTTAGGTAGCCTTATACTCAGAATTTCATAAATTGATTAACACGAAATAACTATCGGCAGATTTATTATAACATTTTGATTTTTTAACATTTGAAGTTCAAAGGTCTAGTAGTGGACCTGATCGCTTAGTAAAAATGAAACACGTGTTTTTGTTTGTTTTTTTCTTTAAAGTAAAAGTAGATAAAAGCTTAGTATAGTGTGACCTCCTCTTGCTGAAATCATAGGTTGCATTCGTCTGGGCATGCTAGTGACTATATCTCTTATGGTTTCTTGCGAAATACGTTCCTACTCCGAGGTAATCATCTTTGGCTCTATGATGTTCTGCATAGCTGAATGTACTGTTCTCACTCGTCGCTTCATAACATCCCAGACATGCTGTATGGGATTTAGGCTGGGACGTCAAGATAGCCAATCCAAGTGACTAATTCCGACATCTAGCATATATGCTTTCACATCGCCAATCCGGTGGATGCGAGCGTTGTCGTCAATAAAAATTAAGTTTTCGCCAAGAACGGCGAATGCGGGTAGTGAATGAAGAATTAGAACGTCCGTTATGTATATGGTGTCCAGTCAATGTGCTGTTTTCAATGAAGACTAACTCCGTACGATCTGTTGCGCGCCATAATTAATGCCTGGTACATGTCACTAGCTACATCTAGTATCGAGTAGCAGAACTAATCCTTCTAGAGAATTCCATACTAGAACTTTCTACACCTAGTGAGTCGAGACCGGTATGTACTCGAACATTATAGTTATTTCAATAGAAGAGGGCCTATATAAGGCCAGTGAGTACCGCGACCGAGGCAGGATTGAATTGGCCAATCGAGCGAATACTTCGAAGCGATATAACTACGAACTAAAGTGATAATTGGATTACTTGTTAGTGTGTTTTAAGTTGTAATTTGTGTTCGGTATTATGAAAGTGTTGAAAAGTTCGGTATGTGTCAATTTCTGTAATACAATCGCCAGTTTTTACTGTCACAGAAAAAATTTACATTCACATAAAATACTTAAAGAGATGCAACATCTCTTCGCACAGAGTCAAGACGATCGGAAAGCGCTCGGTTGCCGACGATTTGAACGGCTCTGCGCTGGATGTGGCCAAGTGGAAGGAGCTGGCACTGGAGAGCCCCAGCCCAGAGATAGGAACAGTATTCCTTGTGCGGCCGAATCTGCGCCTAGTAAAGTTGCGGGCGGTGTGCCGGCATGAAATACTGTCCCGCTCTGCTGAGCGCGCCAAGCTTTTTAGAGGCCAATTTGGTCTTCTCTTTCTAGTGACCACGAAATTGCACGTCACGCGATATGTCGATGCCGAGGATTCCAATACTGGCTGTGGCAACAAGGGGAGTGCCTTAACACAGAGGAGATACGACGAAAGGGTTATTTTTAGCGCTTAACGCGCAAACTTTTGTCTTCTGTGGATTGACCACAAAAGTTTGCACTGGACTAGATTTAGTCGCCTCCAATCCGAGACTCTATTCAACATAGTCTCAACTTCAGACACAAGTTTGTCCTGGTACTCGGCGACGTTTTCCCGAGAAATATTGGCACGGCCAGATTTATAAAGGCGTCACCAGTGCAGTCGTCCGCATAGTAATGAATGTTACGGACTTGAAACATATCATTGATATGCAGAAGATACAGCATTGGTGACATTACGCAACCTTGTGGAAAACCAGCGTAAATGGGCTTGTAATCAGGGCATGCACCGTCTACTACAACCTTCATGCTCCGATCTGCAAGAAAACTGGTGATCCAATTGCACAATTTCTCGGGAAGCCAATAGGAAGTAAGCTTCGTAAGAAGCGCTTTGTGCCAAACCCGATCGCCTTCGGCCTTCGCTATGTCCAAACTAACGGCAACACCTCCCCCCTGGATTCTACTGTCTCCGCCGATTTATGAGTTAGGTAACCTAGAAGAACACCAACCGAGCGATCCTAACGGAAACCGTACTAGCGGTGACTAATCAGCTGGTGATCCTAAAGGTACCGCATGAGTTGACTGTTAATAATAGACTGCATTATTTTAGAGAAGAAGGAGGTGATGGCGATAGGCCTATAGTTGAACGGTTTAGAGCGATTACCTTTTTTGGGATCGAGTGCACAAAAGCTGTCTTCCATGATTTCGGGACTACGCCCAGGGAGTAGGAGTACCGGAAAAGACGCGGTAAACAGGTACCAACTCCGGAGCACATGAGGAGGAACGCCATCAGGCCCACTCGACTTGTTGACGTCCAGGGAGAGGAGTGCTCTGCGCACCGAGCGTTGCGTAAAGAGCATGTGGCTGTAGAAGGAAAAGGGGAGATCTCCCACCGGGCAAGGTGTTCTGCCCGGGGAGCGGCCAACGCTCCGTGTGATAGTTCGGAGCTGTTCTATATATACTGGTTATGATTCGGAACTTTTATAGAGCGCGATTTAGGCTTCGGTGTGTTTCGCTTGTGACTTTGTCTTTTTTTTGTCTCGCGACGACATCGTCGCCACAAGCACATCCTGCATGGAGCACTCACACTGCGGGATGGTCGGCGGTGTGTTCCCCCCATCATCATGAGTCGAGTTGGACGCAAAGAGAGAGCCTAACAGATGGACTTTGTCCTTTGCGGTATGGGCCAGTGAGTCATTCTCCCTGTGCAGAGATGGGAGAGATGGCTGACAGAAGTTCCCTTGGACTGCCTTGGCGAGAGATGCACGTGTTTCTGAAGGAAGTCGAACTAGTTTCTGGCCCATTTTGACGATATGCCCTGTTTTTCACTTGGCAATAACACTTTTGAAGGACCTGGAGGCGTAATTATACTTATTTTTAAGAGCGCTAGTATTTGCATCACGAGACGTCGATGCGACGCCCAGGCCTAGTAGCACTCCTGCTTATGGCGTGATGCAAATTTGCAGGAGCGACAAAACCATGGATGGGGGTTCTGCCTCCAATAGGTATCACAGATGATGGAAGTTCCATTCCCTGCAGCACCACAATAGCGACAGCATCAGCAACAGCGCTGGGATCATCCGGCGAGAAGCAAATACGCCCCCAAGGGTAGGATGCAAAAAAGCTCTAATTCCGTCCCGATCGGCTGACCTATAATGCCAAACACGGCGGTAACCTGCAGAACGCAACCGCGATGGGAGCGCGAGTGGCACCGTACTCCGGATCAGACACAGGTCCGAGGAGCCAAGAGGGGCATCAACGGAGACCATCCGGATCCATCCAAATGAGAGATCAGCAGAAGGTCCAACAGGGAAGATACATAATCTTCCACATCTGCGACCTGCGTAGGCGAGGTAACCAGTTGTGTTTGACCATATGCCAAAACGAAGTCATAGTCAGATCAGGACCTTCAAGAAAAGAGCGTACTCCTTTCTAAAGGGCCGGCAACGCACCTGCAATTCCCCTGGTGTTGCGGTTGATCATGGGCGGCGGTAGTCACTTACCATCAGGTGAGCCGCATGCTCGTTTGCCCCCTCTTCTATAAAAAAAATCTACCCGCATGATGGGTTAAACAAGAACCAAGCCATTCACCGTGGTGGGCGTTAAAATCACCAAGCATCACGATCTCTGCGGATGGGACCTGTTGTAACACGGAGTCTGCAGACATTTGGATGTGGTTGATGAGTCGGTCTGTGTCGGCATTACCGCCATAGGACCTTTAGAGGCACTCCTAGACGCGGGGATGGTCGTAAGTGTCTACGTGCAGCAATAGCGTAGGCAGGTCCGTACCTTCAAGGCTGCCGATGTAAACGCAACGCAAACTCCAGCCTGGGACACAAAGGAGTGTTCTAAATTGTACCTCTGGTAGGAGGGAACGAAGTATTAGTCGGAAATGACACCTATGCCTCGGTTAGAAAGAACAAGGCCTGGCTTCGCCGTTTCCAAGATGGTAGTGGACGGCGTAAAGGTTTGAATGAAGTCCCCTGATGTTGCAAAAATTTACGGATAGCGTGGCAGGGGGCGCCTTTGTCTTATTGCTCCGTTTGCCCCAAGCAGATTTAGTCTCCAGTGGAATTGTGCCACCTTCTCCCCCCCCAGAATACGTGGGGTAGCCTGAGCACCCACGCTCAGGAAGAGTAGGGTAGCTTGGGCTTAGATGTTCAGCGAGAGATTCTCCGTCACCATGGGTGCTGTTACCCTAATTGGGTAGTGTTGTTTTTATCTACGCTACAATATTATAGGGGGGTGGGTGGAAATTGGGTCTCCGGCCACCTGCACTCACCAGACGAAATGCAGAAGCGGAGCTTTTACTTCACCCTGGCCTTCTGTGAGTTCGTGGTTTCACCCCGAGCCGGCCCATACGTGCAACAGCAAAAGCTGCTGCGATAGATAATAGCTTAAATAGATTAAATTGCTAATTTTTTTTCCTTCTTCGAGGTTGTTTTTGAGGTCCATATACGAAGATTTGCGATTTCTCAACCGGTTCGGTGCGTGGCTCTCATCCAGAACCAGTCCTTCTCTTGACGGAACTGGTCTCTATAGTGCTGCCAGGACTATTGGACTGTCGAACAACTCACAGCCTCAGAGTCACGAAGTCAGTGATTGCAACCCTCCTCAAGCATTGCAATAATTTTGCTGGCTTGTAACACTAGTACCATTTTCGATAAATAACAACAATACTTTAAAATGTCAAAGAAATTAGATAATTCAATAAAAATTAATTAAAAGGTATTTAGAGTCAATATTGACTTTCGGGAGTTCGCGTCACAAAATATAGTAAAAAGTTGTTTTCTTTAAAAACTAGCCTCAGGCAAGAATTTGAGTTTGAATCGTACTTTTTTTTAACACGGTACTTTTATAGCCAGCATTTAGTAACATGTTCAAATTTGAAAAAAAAAACTTTCATATTGTATTTTTGCAGGTAGGAAAAAAATCATACCGCCCGTTTTTTGTTGCAAATGAGTGTGTGTTAGATGAAAGTATCGTGTAGTGGCGAAATAGAATACTCACTACCACATATCGTCCATTGGTTGTCGTAAGAGGCGACAAAGGGAAACTTACTACTTTACTTACTTTACTTTACTTTTTACTTAAAATAATAAAAAAACTGTGGTTGCCAACCCGCCTGGCAAGCGAGGCCACTATTAGAAATCGGGGAGATTTGTAATAAGTCAATTTGTGTGGGAGACCTATGTTGTGCGATGGACTTTTATAGGCTGTAATGGATAGATGGAGGAGTGTATGAAAGGCATGTTATTGAATTAGTTTCTTCATCGATTTCAATTTTATTTAGATCTTTTATTTCCTTGATAATAAGCAAAACCGTTTTAAAAAAAATACTTTTAGTCCATGATATTTTGCATGTTTATTTTGTGCTGGACAAATATGCATGCAATGGAGGGTCTTCGTCTTAATATCGTAAAATTATAAGCGTCAGAAGCCTCATGGCAGGGTGCGCATCACGGACTCAAGAGGGCGTGCTTCAAATCTGCCGTTGAATGGCAGATTTGAAGTGTACCATATATATATACTGTCGTGAACCACTCCTAAAACAAGCATTTTAAGCTTGCCAAGAGTGGTTAAAGAGAATATAAGTAATGTTTAATAGCAATGAACAAAAATGAAATGTTGCCGTAGTGTAAAGTTTATAACGGATAGTGAAAGAAAGGAGTTAATTTGCAGGCCCGACCAGCGCGCCCTGGAGGAGGGAGATGTGGAGACGGCCGAGCAGCTGAAGCACCAGCTCGAGCAGGCGCAGCGCGAGCGACGCCGCGACGCTCATGAGCACACGCCCGCCTGGTTCCGGTGAGACACGCACACACGTACCTGCAACCACGCACGTATACACTCACGCACATGTACATGCACTCACGTACAAACGCATACACGTACGTGTGTACGCACTCACACGTACACGCATCAATTTCTAAGCATAATTTCCAAGCATCTTCACCATCAGAAAAACGTTGTACGCATATTTAAGTTTAAGAAACCAAAAAAGAATTAAGTCAATGTTGTGTTTATGTCATCATAAAAAAAAGCCTTTGTAGTTCAAACCTTTTTAAAAAAAAACTTAGATGAGACATATGCGTAAATAATACTGCTTAAGAAACGGCAATGAATGACACTACCAGTTATAAGGATCTCCGGTTTTTCACACTGGACATATTTTTTTATTTCAGCAAAGTGACTGAAAACGGTGAAGAAATGTGGGTGTTCACGGGCGAGTACTGGAAAGCGAGAGAGGCGGGCTTCCCAGATCTAAAGGCGCCCGTTATATGGTGACCGCGCCTTGCCATACACGTACGTATCCATTTTAACGATTGTGCGACCCGAAAGGTCCACACTACTAACTTTCCAGTGGAAAGAATAAAAAAATATCTTATGTTTTAATATTTTATACAATTTTTCATTCGGCACAAAAAACGACTTGACCGATTTTGCCCAAAATTTAATGAGGTCTAAGTTACATAATTATGCGTTAAATGAAACTGGTCCCACATCAATATCACTCTTTGCACGAGATACACTAGGCGAAAATTGAATCCGTATATACGTACATGGACACACACGGACATCCTCTTAAAAACCATACTATTCGACTCTAAAGACCTTGAAACTTGGAGATATGTTAAAATTTCCAATTTGCAAAATCAGACCTTTAACTAATGTCTGTGTAGTGTGTTGGAAATGAAATAAGTTCTTGTAAGAGATAGCGTTTAATTACATTTTATTACGCGTGTAACAATAGTGCCGGCCCGATCGTCACTGACTACAATTCGGTTACATAGGTACTATATACTAAGTGTATTAGTTACATAGCTACTATACTAAGTGTATTAGTTACATAGCTACTATACTAAGTGTACTTACAGACCCATTAAACCCATAATCTATGGAGAGAACTCAAAAATGTTCCACTATAGAGATTCGGAACATACCTAAACAACAAAGGACTGAAACCGCGGATGATCTATTTAACATTGTCCAAAATATAAGTAGTGTTTTAAATGTAGATATACAAAATCAGGGAATTAGGGATATATTTAGGGTCAATACTAAGACAGACAACTACAAGCCTATAATTGTAGAGTTCATCAACAAAATATCAAAGGATAAATTTATCTCAGCAGTAAAATCATTTAATAAGGAAAACGCAAACAATAAATTAAATACTACCCACTTAAAAATTAATCAGACTCGTACACCAATATATGTAACAGAAACCTTGACAGCAAATGCTAGAAAGCTGTTTTATATGAGTAGAGAATTTGCAAAGAAACATAAAAATACATTCTGCTGGGTTTCGTTTGGACGCATATATTTAAGAAAAGAAGAGGGTATGAAAGAAATTCGTATTGATTGCGAAGCAGATCTGCAAAAACTCAGGGAAAAATGACTATTAACTTTAATTTTTTGCATGCTCAAGTTAGTATTTACAGTAGAAAATAAGTTTAATTGTATAAAAGTTAATTATACTAAATTCTATCTTTTCAAAGGCCGGTTAATATATTTTAAAAAGCAAAATATTTTTCTTATGTACACAATACACAAAACAAAATACTACTACTACTACTGTTACCACACATCACACAATGTTACACATCTTTTTATATATAACTCACTAAAATATATAATTTGCACAAATAACTCATACAAACAACATTTACATACTGCAAAGCAAGTGTTCATTTCAAAACGAATTGTTATTTATATTGTTATAATAGTGTACCGTTTTTGCGACGCCTTGACGTTTGCTTATAATTATCAAATCGCTTGTAAAAAAGGTAAACATTTGAAACTATGTGTTTATACAATTGAAATTCAATCTGTTTAATAATAATATTACATCTGACTTGGATAAAAATAAATCCAACTGTACTCTGATTGACGATGTGTCGCAATGCTAACAACTTTTGCAATGTCGTGATGGTTTCGAAACTTTTTGCATCCTTACTGCAAATATACGGAGTATAAACCGCAACTTCGATCTGCTATTGGCTTTTTTATCGGCACTTGATAAAACAATGGATATGATAGTTTTAACCGAATGCTGGTCAAGAAAGGATATCCCTCCCCCAAATATAACCGATTACAATGTACATTACTCTAAAAAGCTTTTAAATCAGAATGATGGCATAGTGGTATATGTTCGTAAGGTTTACAGTTATCGCCTCTGAACCGAACTTAATTGAGGGAAACTGCCTTGTACTTGAATTAGATAGGTTTTCGGTTATTTGTTCATATCGACCACCTTGTTACGCAAACCCTCGACGATATCTACAATCTTTAGATAGTTTATTACAAAAATCCTCTAACAGGCACATCATTCTTACAGGCGATATAAACATTAATACGATGTCTTTCGACATTCATAATAATCAATTAAATGAATATTTGTGCATATTAGCTACTCATGGTTTAGAACAAGGTGTTACACATCCAACGAGGCTCAACAACTGTCTCGATCACTTTATGATAAAGACGACTGAAAAATGGCAAACCATGGTTTTTCCACCATTAACTGATCACAGTCCTATCCTATTACAAATAAAAAACGCCCGACTGCCAAAGATAAAAAGCACACACACAAAACAGGTACTACACTACGCCCGGGCGTTAAATAATCTAAGTGCCATGGACTGGTCACATTATTTTAAGTTGCGTGATGTAAACCAAACTGCGGAACATCTTGTCAATATTGTTACGAATATAATTAACGAGTGCACTAGCACTAAGTACATACCCAAAAAGAAAGCACCTCTTAAGCCTTGGATCACGATAGGCGTTGTAAGATCAATCCGTAAAAGAGATAAGTTGCATAAAAGGGCCAAACTACGACCGAATGAAGATACAATTAACACATATAAAAAATATAGGAACACTTGCAATAACATATTAAAAATTTTGAAGCAGCCGTATTATCAAAAGGAACTACTAAAAAGTGAAAAAAGTATCACAAAAACCTGGAATATAATAAAGGACTTATGTAATATGAAAACGAAAAACAATGTGCCAGAGTTGCTTAAGATGGGGAGCACTACAAAGGAATCGTTAAATAAGATCAACACATACTTCACAACCATTGGTAAAAGTCTGGCGGACGTCATCCTACAGAAACTAAATAAAACGGAGCTCGAATTAGCAAGGCAAGCGTTTATACAATCAAACTCTCAGCTTCAATCTATGTCTTTCGCACCCACAGACCCATATGAAATTAATAAAATAATAAATAATCTTTAGCAAAAAAAGTACCTTGTATATCCAATTGCACATCTTTGTAATCTTAGCTTAGAACAGGGAATATTTCCCGATTTATTTAAAACGGCTATCGTGTCTCCAATTTTTAAAATGGGGGACAAACAAGATGTCTCGAACTATAGACCGATTTCTATGCTGTCTACCATGTCAAAAATTGTGGAAGCGTTGATCAACCATAGGTTGATTATTTATCTAGAGAAAAACAAACTATTAACTAATTATCAGTATGGGTTTCGCAAAGGAAGGTCAACGGATGACGCCTTATTGAAGTTGACATCTTTAATTCACTATTATGTTGATAGAGGAGAGAAGGTCATTGGTGTTTTTCTTGACCTAAAGAAAGCTTTTGACACAGTATCAATTCCGATACTATTGTCTAAACTAGGGGGCTTGGGCATCCGCGGTCATGTATACCATTGGTTCCATAGTTACTTGGCAGTTAGACAGCAATACGTTAGAGTAAATAAAGACCTAAGTGACGCCTCAACCTGTGGATTCGGTATTCCACATGGCAGTACATTAGGCCCGACTCTCTTCTTGGCGTATATTAATAGTCTTCCAAACGCATTAACATCTAATACGGTAGTACTAATATTTGCTGATGACACAGTCTTACTATTTCATGGGCAGAGTTGGAAACAAGTACAAACTTTTGCAGAAACCTGTTTTAAGAATGTCTCAGCTTGATTAGAGAATAACTTACTCACACTAAATATTTCAAAGACCAAATACCTCTGCTTCTCGAGGTCTGCAACTTCAGGTCCAGCTCAAGACTTTACAATCACACTACATTCTTTACCATTTAATGGAAAGCTTACTAGCCAATGCAATTGCAGCACATTAACTAGAGCCAGATGTATTAGATACCTAGGTATTCAAGTAGATGATAATTTGAGCTGGAAAGAACAAATCATTAGCATCTGTTCTCGGGTTAGAAAACATATATATATTTAGACAACTAAGAACAGTCGCTAGTAAAAAATTCTTATTCAGACTTATAAAACGCTCTGCCAAAGTATCATTAATTATTGTGTGACGACGTGGGGTAGCGCACCAAAAACAACAATGATTCAATTTGAACGCGCGCAAAGAGCAATTTTAAAAGTACTAATGCACCTACCGTACCGACATCCTACTAATAAAGTCTACAACGGGACTCAGGTACTCTCAGTTCGCAAGTTCTTTATAATTCAAGCTCTCCTGAGATACCACCGTGTAACTGCCTACTCACTACCACGAACCAGTAAAAGAAGATTTCGGTGCCCTATACCCACTATCAAAACCACCTTTATGCAACGACACTACAATTTCATAACACCATACATATATAATAAAATTCCCACCGAGAATATTGTTAGCCTTATAACTCTAAGCACCAATAGATTTAAAAAATATGTACTGAAATGGTTGCAAAATCTTGACTATGTCCAAACTGAAAATCTTCTTACAATATCTAAATAAAATACAATCATTAAAACACGCACAGACACAACACACACACACACACACACACACACACACACACACACACACACACACACACACACACACACACACACACACACACACACACACACACAAGCGCGCACGCGCCCACACTTCCGCACATACGCACATCAACAATAAACAACACATTAAACAGCATGTAACAGTAACGGCTATAAATTAATATTAATTAAGAATAATAAATTGTCTTATGTACTTGCCGAATATAGACCTAGAAATAAGAATTAGGGAAGGCACTGTTTCCTGAGATACAGGTGATAACCTAGTTCAGGAGACAGAGCTCCTTTGTATTTAGACATATTTGGTTGCTAATAAACGTTATTTATTATTATTATTACAGTAACTTGCCACTGGGAAGTTAAAAAAACAACATGGCTATTCCTTTCTTTATCGTTAACGTTACCTTTACAGCCTATTAAAGCCCACCGCTGAACATAAATGATTGATAATACCCCTGGGAATGAGGTGATCGCTACCATGCTGTTTCCGAAATGTTCTCATAACGATTATATACATTT